TTTTTAAAAAAAAAAAACAAAGGAATGCTGGTGTTCTACCGAACGCTTCCTCTCTCACGACTCTGGATTCGTCCGGCGGATTGTCGATGATCGCTGGCTGGATGACGAAATTGCCTTCGTCGGAGATTTCAGCACTCCCCAGCGCGAACTTATACCCATTCCTCTGCGCGTCCTCGTAGAACCGCTTCACAAAGTTGTACTGCATCTCGTTCTGGATCGGCCCCAGCATGTTCCCCGCGTCCGGCGTCGAGGGCCCCGTCTTCCACTGCTTGACGATCTCCGTCAGGCGCTGCAGGAACGGCTGGTAGATATCTTCGTGCACGTAGACGCGCTTGCTCGCGAGGCAGAACTGCCCGGAATTCAGGAACGCCCCGATCGCGACCTGCGGCGCCACCACGGAAATGTCCACGTCCGGACACACGATGCACGCGTCGTTCCCGCCTAGCTCCAGCGTGATGCTCTTCAGCGTCCGGCTCGCCGTCGCCATGATGTTCTTCCCCGTGGCGATCGATCCCGTGAAGCTGATCTTCTGCACGTCCGGGTGCTCGACGAGCAGCGGGCCGGTCTTCTCGTCCCCGTTCAGGGCCTGGATGACGCCTGGCGGGAAGATGGATTTGACCACCTCGACGAATTTCAACACGCTGTACGGCGTGTACGGTGACGGCTTCACGATCACCGTGTTCCCTGTCAGCAGGGCCGCTCCGATCTTGCCCATGGCCAGCACGAGCGGGTAGTTGAACGGGCAGATGGCCGCGACGACGCCCATGGGCACATATCGCACGCTCAGGCGGAGATCGGCGTCGTCCTGGACTACCCTGGGCTGGAGCTCTGGATGAGACGCTATTCCACGACTGTTAGACTATCTTACAGAGAAAGATTTAATGATTCTGCTGGCTTACAATGAAAAGACAGAAACCCGAGCGAATGGTCCACCTCCATCCGCGCAAACTGTATCTGCGTTTCGTCTTAGTATAATGCTACGTTTGCATAACTTCGACCTGCCTACAGGTTTGCCATTCTCCTGCATGATAACACTCGCCATGTCGTCCTTGATCGCGAGCAGCGCTTCCCGCGCCTGGGCGAGCAGTCTGGCTCGCTCAGACCATGGCGTCCGCGACCAGCTCGGGAAGGCCTGCTTCGCCGCGGCGACTGCTTCGTCCACGTCCGCCTCGCTCGCCACGGGCACGTCCCAGAGAGGCTGCTTGTTGGAGGGATTCACGGCTTGAGTGAGGCGAGGACCTGTGCGCGCCTCGCCATTGATGGTGTTGCTGAAGGTGAAGAAAGTCGCTGACGTAGCCATGATGCTAGCCGCAGATGGCTGGAGAAGCGCCGGATGGCTTGAGATGGCAATTGCTTGAGTGTTCAATGCAGCATGTCTTCAAGAGAGCGTCAGATCATGCTTCTCACGAGCGATTCGAGCGATCATTTAATGAATTGCAGCAGCCAGCAGCTTCGACGTCATGAGCGCTGGCCTGGACGACCCCTCACGCCGCCTTATCGGACGTGGGGTAACTTTAAGCTTAGCAAGAATTAGCCGTTTAGGCTCTTGGGCCAGCGCGAGTCCCGACTGCCGCGGTGGACGCTTTCGACCGCGGTGGCTGTGACTCTCCAACTGAAGAACTGCCGATGTGTGGGATAGATAGTACCTGCGTCGATATGAGTGCTAGCGCATGCGTCTGCCAGTCTGGCTGAATGGTCGGAAATGCAATGCCTGCTTCTGCCACACCTAGTGGCGACCTGGGCCAATAATATGGCATGACATGAAATGTCAATGGCGAGAATATGGCGATGAAGTATGCGGTGTGACAGTCGTCAGCCTGCTTCTGTAATGCCTGTCGATGTGAGATGGCAGGCGGGCTCGTCTTTGTAAGCAGAATCCCGGAGTCAACCCCGTGACCAGAGTTTATGATTCTGCCAGACAACAAAATGGCCCATTCAACGCCCAATATCTCCGAGAGCGAAGCAGTTGTCCATCTGCATAGCGCCACCTCCATCGTTGGCGATGAACGGCTCTCGTCGACTGCTGTCTGGAACGCGCTCATCGACACGTCGACCTGGCCGCGCTGGAACGCGTTTGTTCCCCGCGTGACGATCCGGGAGCAGCCGTCGCAACAAGCCACGAGTGCTGGTTCTCATCGTGATGATGAAAGTGGTAATAATGCAGGGCGACAACTATCGCCAATCCTCCAACTCGGGACGAGGATGACCTTCCACGTCGACATGTCTGCGGGGGCATCTTCTTCATCGAAGAATAACAAGAATAGCGACAGTCCTAGAAACCTGCAAGAGACGCCCCTCGTCGTCACCGTCTTCGAACCACCCGATTCCGCGAGCAAGAAGCCAGGCCGGATTGTCTGGGCGGGCGACAGCACCGGTCCAGGCGGGTTCTCGGAGTGGTTATTGCGGGCGGAACGGACGCATGAGATTTACGAGGAGACAAAGACAGAGGATGGAAGAGTCCAGGTCCGCGTCACGAATAGGGAGCTTCAGACGGGCGTGTTGGCGTATGCGGTGCGGTGGATGTATGGGCAGACATTGCAGAGATGTTTTGAGAGGTCGGTGGAGGATTTGAGGAGGTTTGTGGAGAGGGAGTTGGTGATATAATCGACCTCCATCGAGTGCGTCCTCCTCTTTATCTACGGTGGTTTCGGTTCTCTTTGCATTTGTGACAGTGTCTTAATGAACGATAAAAATAATATTTTTTTTTCGAGGTAGGATTATGTGAGCACAATAAGAGTATCGTATCGTCACATTCATTCGTTTATTCATTCCTCTAGTGCCACAATTCCGTGTTTACTCTCGAAAAAAAAAAAGAGTAAAGGAAAAAAAATTCATAGTCGAACTATGGAGCAGGAAAACGGGACAGGATCCATGGATACGAATGGGAACACGGCTGTCATACGGAGTATTACTCCGTAGTGAACCAAACAAACAATAAACAATCCCGTGATGGTTAAGGGGTAAACAAGCCGAAAAAAAAAGGATCTTTTTCATTTATAATTTATCACACATTGTCCCAATCTCAGTATGAAATCGAAGAGGGGCTGAAGTAGGTACTGGTGAATAAAAAGAATTGGCGAATGAGTGGTCCCGGAATTCAAGTCTGTGCCTGACGGCCTCTTAGTGCGTCGGGCCGGACTAAGAGGATGGTCGAAGTTTGAAGGCTTCTAGGGTGCGTCTCGAAGGATGGCCCAGGCTAACGACTCCCAGGGAATTATTCTTGTTATCTTACCGGTGAGTCCGACTCATCTGTGCATATGGCGGATTTCCCCTTAGGAGGAGATGACTCATGTAGCTGTATGCCTGCTCCGATCGTTGAATTCCGACAGCCAAAGCACGTGTGCGGAACGGCAGGCTGGCACGCGTAGCGTGGCGAGATCTTCCAGGCCTGCAGCAGCACATTCTCCGTACAGCATCTGTCCATGTCCTCCGTACGGAATACGGCATTCCGGCAATCCAAGTATTCAGACTCGATTTCCTGCCGAGTTTCGACCAGAAATATAACGATCATCTCGCCCGTGGCTGTTGGCGTCCCTGGGTGCCGGGACGCTGTCACGCTGCGCGGCTTGGCGATCGGTGGGGGGAGTTTAGGCCCGCGCGGATTGCTCGATTCGTGCTTGCCGGCGTCTCTCGCTGGCCATTCTTCTTCCTTGCAGCTTTGCTTTCTTCCCCCTTTCTCTCTTGTGACCTTCCTTTCGCGCGCTCAGACTGTAACCGTCGCGGGCCCCGTTGGTCAGGTAGCATCGGCCTCGCTGCATCGTCGGATCCATTCCTGCCCACCTGCGCCAGTCAGCATCGGGAAAAATGCGAACTCTGGCCTTAGCTGCGCCAAGCTCATGACGCCGCTCTCTCGTCCGATATCATCGTGAGAAATTCTTTGTGGCAGGGATCAGGAGGACACATTGTTGGCCTATTGGGAATGCACGGGACGCCTGGCCTCGCGCTAGGAAGCGCTCCGGATGACGGCGATGCTGCTGCAGGGGTGTGCGGGGGGCGAGGGCCGAAATGAGACGTCACAATCTGATCTCCTTAGCCCTATCCGGCATCTTTTGAGTTATCGCGTCCACCCCCAACCTCGACTCCACGCTGTCACGGTATTACAATTCCTTGCCTGGACCCCGGCCGCCCCATCCGCACGAGACGACTTCCTGGCCCTTTGTCCTGTCCCTTATCTTTTTTCTTTTTAATCTGTTATAGTCGCCTTTCTCTCCGGGAGTCTCCAAATCGCCGTCGACTCGAGGCCTGTCGGGTCGCTTTCAACGGTTCCGCACGTCACCGACACACCTTGTTCTGGTTTGCCACCGATATATCGTACGTCTTCTTACGATCATGCATTTGCGCGTCGCCAAAGAAATCTCTCCTTGCTTTTTGCCGCCTCGCGCCGATTGATATATACACTCCGAGCTATCCATCATCTGTCTGGACTCGCGTTTGCGCCGTGTGACACACGCTCTTAAGCTCGTATCTATATATATACCACCTGCCACCATCACGTGGGAGCTTCTTGCGCAGCAAACGCTGCAGCTCTTCCCACCGACGAGGGCCTTTCAAAAGAGAGCGAGAGAGCGCGCGAGTCTGGCTATATCTTGGAATTCTTTGCTGTTTCGCAATTAATTAAATTTTTCTATAGAGATCTGCCTGCACTGTGCAATTCAATGGCCACCAGACACGCTCCCAAGCTGGCATTGGAGACCCCCCGAGATGAAAGATCGATGCTCTTTCCTCATGGCGCCCCTTCAACTCTGACGCCTCCGGTGACTCCCACCAACAAGGACGAGAATCGTCATGAGAATGCTGCACCTGCATTAAACTCCCAACCTCTGACCCCTTGCCGCAGTCCCGACAGCGACAGAGCGGACGGGCTCCCGTCACGACCTCTGGAATTTATCTATGATCTGGAGCTGCGACGGAGCGGTGACGACGGCCAGCCGCTGGAGTATGGCCGGGGCGTCTGGAGCGCCGTCTACATGGCCACCTCGCGATGGTCGTCCTCCGTCTCCGGATTGACGCCGCCCTCCTCTCCTGCCATGTCCAGCCGTGTCCTGGCCGTCAAGTCTCCCCTCCGTCACGATGCGCACCCCGTCCTGGAGGCGGAAGCGCGTATCTTGACTCGCATAAGGGGGACTCCGGGCAAGGATCGCTATGTGGTTCCCTTCCACGGCTACGTTTCAGCTTCCCACTCGATCGTCATGTCTGCCGTGCCTCTGGCGCTGTCCACGTACATCCGGGATCGAGCTGCCATCGCACAGCAGAACTTTTCCACCCGGACCATGTTCGATCCCGTGCTGGGCATGGCTCAATGGCACGACCTCGCTTTGCGGCTCATCCGCGGTCTGTCGTGGCTCCATAACGAGCCTGGCATCGTACACGGTGACATCAAGCCGCACAACATTCTCCTCCGCCCTCGTCAGGACAGCGATTATGACGGGAATCGTGATCGGGACGTCTTCCCCTACGAACCGCTCTACGCGGATTTCTCTTCGGCTCATGATCTGTTATCGCCCAAGTCGGCCCTCGGCGGGGTTGCCACGCCCTTGTCCGCTCTAACGCCTCCTTTCGCCGCTCCCGAGTTGCTTTCGGTAGCGGCCTTGAAGTCGTCCGACGTCCTCGCGACGCAGGCGTCAGATGTCTTCTCCCTCGCCGTGACGCTCCTCTCAGCGGCCACTGGCGATTTGGTCCTCTACCCTGGAACGAGCAACATACAGCGACTGGCCATGTCCCGAGAAGGCCACCGTGTGCTTGACTTTGTTCGATCCGGAGCGCATGGCACCCGGGTCCCTCGCAACGGACTGGTCGAAAAGAGTCTGAAGCCGGCTGTGGTCAAAGATCCCAGCGAGCGCATCCGCCCCGAGGAATGGCTGCAGGCCATAGGCTAGTGCCGGTTGAGCATCAGAGTTCACTCGTTTTATTTTTCACCTGTATATATTGCTACTACGTTTACTTTTGGTGTCTATCGCTTCTCTTCATTCTCTGTCTTATTATATATACCCACTTTCGTTTCTTGTGTTGATATACTGTGTGTTATGTGAGATACCCCGATAGAATGGGCCTGTGGATCGGGTGGATATAGGACTCCAACAGAATGGGTTATGATATCTTGTCTGAATAAAATTGGTTTTGCTCTCTATTCGGTCTATCTGCTCTACATCTTGCTGTCCTAGACCTTGGATATGCAATGCACAACTGTACAGTACATTGGGTTATTATGCCGTCTCAGAATCTCAAACTGGGTTACTCTGGCTTATCAGCTGAACAGTTTCATACAATTAGGCACGGTTCTGACAGTCTCCCATGCGGCTTCCCGCGTCTCTCACGGACTTCTTTGTGTGTCGTCCCTTCCCAGCGATCCCATTTCCTCTTTTGGCAGCACGCCGGAGCAACGCTGCCTTCCTGTTCCAGCAGGCCACGCCCGGTGCACGCAGAATGACAGCTCCTCTCCTCTTCACGCTTCTTCCTTTCTTCTCCTTTCCTCTTCCTCTCTCCCTCTATCATCATCATCCCATCTCGCTCGTTCTGATCACTATCTCAGCACTTTTCTGCCTGCATAGCTTTCATATCTTAGCGCTCTCCTTGCTATCAATAGCTTATCTCGCTTGACTGTTAGACAACACGCTCGTTTCATCTCTGGTGAGCCTTTATGTTCCCAGTCAATCGAACAGTGAAGAACCTCAGTTTGTGCTGGATTCCGCTGGTCTCTCGATCAGCCTACTCCGTCATTTCTTATCGTCCTGCCTGCTCCATCTAGAAAACCTGAGACATATCACTATCAATAGCACTTTCGTTAGCATTTTTACCTCTTGACACTCGCTTTCATGACCGAAGTCAACATTCTTTTCCACAATCATCTGCCAGAACCCAGGAGACAAACCGAAGCACCGCTGACGCTGGTGTCGGTTTGGTACGGACGGACATTGAATATTCATATCGACCTCGTCCACAGACCCGTGGACGCCGAGACTGACTTTGTTGTTCAGGGTTTCAGAGCACAGGACCCTCAGAACCCTTCCTTGATCAACTGGGAATCGACGACCGTATATCGCTGCGTCCTCCCCTCGTTTGGTCCTCCAAATCAGTGGGCTCTGATCCAACAGGAGCTCGCCGTGCGCAGACTTGTCGAACAAGAACCCTCGCCGCCCGAGGTCGTTCAGTATCCCTTCCAGGAGAACCAGAGCAGAGGGCGTTCCCTTTCGGCGCCACCAGTCATCCGTCAGCCAGAACAGACTGGCACCGTCGAGCGCCTTGTTCTCTCCGAGTCAGGTCAAGCTGGTGGATCGGCTGCGTTCGATCCTCGCGTCTACGCCTTGCCCCTGACACAAACGGCTCGTCTGGATCATTTGAACGAAAGGATTGAGCAATCCATTCCTCAAGACCAATTTCCTTGCTCTCCTCATCGACTCTCTCCTGATTGCAAGAGTTCTTCGCCCCTGGAGCCGTCATTGCCAGTCGTCCAGTTCCCGCTTTCTCCCCCCACGTATATTCAGCGCCTGGAGGACCTCAACGAGGTATTACGATTTCCGCGTCCACGCCGAGTTGTTCGTTCCCCTGTGCTTGACCACTTTCAGGAATTTGGCTCCCAAGAGAACACCAGATTACCATCCGCAGACTCTCGTGTTTTTGGGACCCCTTCTACCGTTGACATTCCGGCTCCTCCAAACACAACTCCTGTCTCTCACAGGCAGACCAAGTCCCCTGTCAAATCGTCCAAGCCTAAGCGACGCTCGAAGAGAAGGCCTCCGCATTTTCGCTCGAAGCTTTAGTGATCGATCGCCAGAAAATTTCAAGGATCATCTTGCTGGAATTAAGACGAGGAGTTTGGTCCTGTTGAACTGCAGAGGAGAGGGTCGCAATCGGTAAGTGAGATTCCCAAACGGGAAGTCGTTCTGAAAGCCCTAACAGTTTCTCCAGACGACATTGAAGAACTCGGCCCCGGAGCTTCCGGCATATATATTAATAGGATTGCGATTATCGACATGAATATGGTATTCCCTACCCAGCCTTTCACGCCGCATCCCACCCAGCCATTCCCACGGTTTTACGTCATTCGACCGGATAACACCGTTGTTCCTTTGCTTGCGATCGACGAGCTGCCAACGTGGCTACAGGTTGGGAATTGGGACTGGAGCGATCCGTCTCTGTTTTACGGAATGGTTCCAGCAAGCATCTACCAGGTTCCTCGCCTTGGCGAATATGACGTGATTTGCCAATATTGCTGTTCTGGTCTCGAGGCTCTCCAGCGGAGTATATCGCAACACAGCGACAATCCGAGCCAGCAACCCCAACCCCAGTCTACCGATGATCGCAGGTCCTATCCCGGAGCATCTCGTGATCCATCTCGAGAGTTTTTCCCCACGATTCCTGGGTACCAGCATTACAGCGTCTATGCAGAACCGCCCTTCCAGGCAAACCTTCGAAGCCAATACGCAGGATTCTGTTTGGTCGACTGGCGCTGTCCCGACACGATCCTCTACTCAAGCTATTCTACTTCCCCGTGGAATTCCTCTTTCTGGTCCTCTTCCAAGCAGTCAGGATGCGTCGGTCCTCAGAAAGATCAACCTGGTCGGTCGCCCCCTTTAAACCCTGAAGCCTGTGACTTTAAACCGCCAGCCAAGTCCAAGGGAGCTATCGACAGTCCTTCCAGCTCTTCCAGGGAGGATGAGTTCAAGGCCAACATATTCTCCCCAAACTCTGCCTGGACATCGTTGTCCTCGGGTCTCAATGCACGTCCCGAGCCCGACGAGAAACCGTCTGTAGCCCCAGGGATTAATGTCCGACAGCCATCTCCCGCAGAAGCGCCAGAGAAAACAAAGGATGCCGGTCCACAATCCGGACGAAGCCTGGGTGATATGGTGTCAAGTCTCAAGCAGGTTCTGGGGATTGATGCCAATCCAAAAGCACCCCAGAACGTGAAAGAAAACATTCCGGAAGGCGCAGAAAACACCGTTCAGGTTCAGGGCGAAGTTGGCCAAGCCTCAAGGGATACAGGTCATACTCATGGTCACCCTAGTCCCAAGGGAAGGAGATATCGGCGAAGACGCGTTCGCGTCAGGCACCAAATCCTCATGAAAGAAACATCGACAGGGGAGGATGGGAATGCCAGAAAGGGATCCTCTGCTGCAGCCAGACGGAGACGAGCCGGCAAGATGAGAAGGCATCACAGTGAATTTGACGGGGGGAGTCGATACCGGCAGGTGATGCAGAGTCCGAACTGGAGAGAGAACGCTGGGAGGGCGCAGTGAGATTGGCTGGTGATCAGAATGGAGATATGATTGAGAGAGTTCCTTCGCTTTCTTCTTTCTTTTGTGATTGCAAATTTCTACGTGGATGCATGGTTCCATCCTCGGACTTGTGATCCAGGTTGGCTATTTGTTGCCTTCGTTTCGCTTTGATAGATTTCCTTTGTGTCACCGACGGTTAGAGATGTTACTAGATTGTCACCCTGATTGAATTAGCCAGTTCATCCTGCAACTTGCGAGTACAGAAAATACTGCTGAAAGTTCCGGTAAAAAAAAAAAGAGAGAGAGAGAAAAGCAAAGAAAGAAAGAGAAGTGTCCAAAGCTCGCCAGGTAAGTGGCTCTGATATTTGGCACTCTATTCAGAACGACATCCGAACGAGCTCCGGATTTAGGAAAGGGTAAGATTAGCTGGTGGTCTAGGCGGAGATACATACGACAGATTAAATTCGAAACTATATGGCACAGTTCATCTGCTCTTTAGAGTAGTCTCATACACGTACTGTACGTGGTAATCATTTAATCCCAGTCTCATCTATATAATATAATACACATCTCTCTCTATATATTTCTCTCTATATATCTATGATTGATTATTATTACAAATTCTTGACTTTCCCGGCGGCTTTACCGGCCGCGTACTCAAAGGCCGCGGACCCGCTGCTGAACGCGGTCAGGGAGCCACCCAGGGAGCGGCTCACCTGAAGCGCCGACTCGGGCCGGCCGGGCCAGTTGATGTACTCGTATGCCAGGTCCATGATTGCGGAGATGGGTAGCGAGCGTAGGCGGACGCTGCTGAGGTCGTATTCGAAGTTGTCGATTAATGAGGGTGTGGGGGTGGGTGTGGGTGTAGTAGGTATAGGTGTGTCTGTTGCTGTAGTTTTGGACTTTTTCCTCTTAGTAGAAGAGGAAGTTGTCGTCGTCGACGACGACGACGACGACGACGACGACGACGACGACGACGATGATGATGATGACGACTTCTTTGCCGGGTGATCTGATCGCAGCTGCTTGGGCACATGTGCAAACAGGCTGGGGACCGCTTTGATCACCTCGACCGTGGGCCGTCCCGGGAACATCTTCTCCAGGATGCTGGCAAGGGAGTCGCCGGCGCGGACACCCAGAGCGGATATAACCGCGACGAAGAGCTCGATCTTTTCCTGTTGAGGCCGCCCTTCGGAGTCGCTGGTGAACTGCACCAGAAACGAGTGGATGTCGGGCTCGAAGTAGAGAATGGAGCAGGGCCGGGTATCGGGCCACATCTCCTCGTTTTTGATGTGTAGTGGCTCGAATGGGCGTCGGTCCCAAGTGAGGACCGAGTCGTCCAGATTCCCCGTGAGAAGGGCCGCTCGCCGGTTGTCCGTCAGCGTGTCGAGATGGGAAGTGACGAGATATGCCGCCTTGGAAAGCCTCTCTGCGTATTCAGACCGCATGCTGGCCAGACGAGAGTCCAACTCCTGGACTTTCTGCGGGTCTGCCGTGGGATCCGCGACCGCCTGAACCAGAGCCCTTTCAAGGGAGTCAATGGCCGACTGCGTGTCAGCGCACTGAAGCCGCTCGTACCAGAGTCGGTTATCTTGGTTGACCTGGCCCAGACGTGTATTCAGATCTTTTCGTAAGCTCGACAAACGGCGGCGACGGCTACTACCATGAGCCGTGCTCGCATAACGCTCAAAATCCTCCTTCAAATCCAGGTAGGCCTGATGCATATCGACCCTGGGACGCGGAACGTATGGGACTGGAATTCTTCCGGGGTTGTTGGTTTCCGGGGCCATGGGAATTGGAGGCCGTTCACGTCCCTGCGGAATGGTGATGTTCGCATCGGCCGTTCGCTGCGCGGCCTGAGCAGCGCTTTTGGTGATGAGATCCCACTCTCTCTGGATGACCTTAGTCTCATTGCTACCAGCTTCTGCAACGTTGACTAAGTGGAGTGCCATCGACTCGTTCAAGAAGGCAACTTTCTTCCGGTTGAGAACTGTCCGCGGGTTCAGCAATTCTGCTTCTTCCGACGGCACCATTACCAGCATCCGTACCATGCCATAGCGGTTAAGACCCTTGCGCCTCAAGCCATCTTCCATAATGGCCGTCCATGTCCGTGACGGAGTGAAATGTCCTTGACACACCCTCAGGTCGGTGAAATTCGCAACCAGCAGCAAGTTGTCATTCCTCAACTGCTTTTCGTCTGGAACAGACTGCGGCAGATGCTGGTTTACCAGACTCTCCCAGTCGATCGTCTCCTTCCATTTCGAGGTCATCTTCACCAGCTGGACCGACGGTTTGCTCATCAATTCCTTGAGAAAGGGCTTGTACACCGTGTCGCGGACTTCCACGAGCACATGGCGACGGGGTTGCAAAAGGTCATGGAGCTTCGACGAGAGTAGCCCGACGCCCGGGCAAAGATCGAGTATGTCACATGGCTTGTTCTTCGTCAGGAAAGGTGATATTTGTTGGACAATAGCATCTGCAGTTATATAGCGCTGTAAGCAGCAGATCAACCAGGTAGTTGACGCCAGGGGCTCTGTAGAGCATACCACAGAGTTCGTCGCTCACGATGTCTGTTCTTCGGAATCTTGTTTTTCTGGGAACTCTTTTCTGCAATTCTTCTAAAAAGGATGACCCGCTCGATGTTGACACTGTCCTTCGAAAAGCCGCTCTCCATACCCGCGGACTCAGGTGTGGTTGGTGGCCATGATTGAATGAGCGTGTCGCAGCGACGTGACACAGGCCAAACAGGAAAGCACGCATGAAAATGACAAACCGGAAGATGAAGCTTCAGTGGAGACTGTGCTCAAGGAAAGGAAAGGAAGCCGACTCTCGTCGAGGAGAAGCGCGACTAGTAAAAAACGGGAGCGGAGATGGATGGAGCTCGCGGAGACAGAAGTCCCTAAAGCCGCCTGGAAGCTCTGGCGGGGCGGTTCAGCAATCACGCAGGAACATCTCCTCGCCAGCAGCATCGCCTCTTCTTGCCATCAATGCCGCCGTGGTAGAAACATGTGCTCGCGCTGTGTCCCGAGACGATCCTGGCACGCTGCTCTCTTTGTTGTTCCTCATTGTGTCGAGAGAACCCTGGAGACGTGCCCCGCCGCGGACGCCCCATGAATGCCGCTGCCTGCATGCAACGCATCGTCCAAGTCCATCGCGTTCATGGGCCAGAGTGCGCACCATTTGACCGATTCGCTCCAAAATAACCAGCCTTGACGTCTGTACAGGTACGAGGGATCGCCGAAACGGGCGTTCTGTGCTATCTCCAGGTCGAGCAGAGACCCCGCCCAGCATGGCGTCCATCGATCGAGGGTTCTCTTCCCCTCATAACGTCGAGCAGATCGCTCGCATGGCTCAGGAGTATGAATACAATCCGCTGATCCCCCTTCGATACTGGTTGAGGACTGCAAGGACCCTGGTCAATGAGGTTCGTTCACGCCAGCGGCATCCCTGTCTGTAACAGCGGTGTTGATGCTAACCATCGGAACTGGTCCTAGGCGCAAATCTACGAAAGAGAAGGTCACGATGAACAGGCATATCTATTGCTTTTCAGACACGCCCAGCTCGTGCTGGTGCATCTTGTAAACCACCCCGAGGCGAAAGATGAGAGCAACCACAAGAGTCTACTGGCGGCTGAGAAGCAAGTCAAAGTCAATATCGAGAAGCTGGAAGCTCTGAAGCCGCGGATCAACAAGCGATACGAGCGTTACAAGCAGTTGTTGCGAGAGCGTGAGTCCAGACATCAGCGGGATGACATCCGGCCCACTCGGGGTCTGCCGTCGGATCCTGCACTGGCTGGTGTTCCGGAAGCACTGGAGGCTGCAGAGAATCGAGACCTGGCGGTTAAGCTGGCACAGAAAGAAATCACCCGGAGAGCGACTGCTCGACTAGCGACGCGGCAGGCGGGAATTTCAGAGGAGGAAGAGCGGAGACGCCGCATGGCCGGTGTCTCCGCCTGGGGTGACTGGGAAGAAGCTCTGGCCCGAAGCGACGCAACAAGCGGCGGAGATGATCTCAGCAGACGGATCCAGGAGATCCGAATGAACCTCGACCAGCCTTCGGTCGATGTTGGACAGCATCGTCAAGAGCCTCAGCAGTCAGCCCAGCTGGATTCAGCTCAACCAGAGGTCTCCTCGACCTACAAGTACCCGAGTGTGCCGCGACAGAGGCCATTTGATGTCGGTTCTTTAGCACCTGTCCAGCCACGGCCGGATAAAGGAGACATTTCGCAACCTCCTAAACTTCCACCCAAGGAACAGCTCGTCGCAGACCGTCCTGCTGTGTCGGACGAGCCTCCTCCTCGTCCGAGCAAAGTGCCACCTAGTGCTCCGCCTGTGCCAAGTAAAGAGAAGGCACTAGTCAAAGAGTCGGAGTCAACGCCATCAGATCTCAATCCTTCCACCTTCACGTTCAAGCCCTCTGCATATCTTGAAAACGGGACCCCATTACGCACGGTTTTCTTGCCCCCTACCCTGCGGACGCATTTCTTGTCGATTGCGGAACCCAACACACGGCGGAACCTGGAGACCTGTGGCATCCTTTGTGGAACGCTGATCTCGAACGCTTTGTTCGTCTCGAAACTGCTCATCCCGGAGCAAGAGTCGACGTCGGATACGTGCGAGACGGTGAACGAGTCGGCCATCTTTGATTACTGCGACTCTGAGGATCTGATGGTCCTTGGTTGGATCCATACGCATCCGACGCAAACCTGTTTCATGAGCTCGCGGGACCTGCACACCCACTGCGGCTATCAAGTGATGTTGCCGGAGAGCATTGCCATCGTTTGTGCACCAACCAAGACTCCCGACTGGGGCGTGTTCCGACTCACCGATCCCCCGGGTCTCAAATCGGTCCTGAACTGCACGCAGACGGGGTTGTTTCATCCCCATGCGGAGGAGGATATCTACACGGACGCACTACGACCAGGCCATGTGTTTGAAGCACAGGGGTTGGAATTTGAGACGGTCGACCTGCGACCTGGGATCTAATCCAAAGTTTCAGCCGGGGTTCAGACCCGGGAAAGTGTTTTCCACGATTAATATACTGCATAATTTCGCATTCATAAGGTCCAGGCGGTTCAGGGGGCGTTGTTATTTATTGATTGAGTTTGACGGTACAATTTTATGTAGATCAGCGCATTTCGTGTATATAATATAGTATATCCATTACACCATACGAAAAACAGTGAAAAGTGCAGCAATTTAAGTGGTTAACTATTCTCCAGAAAGCAGGGTGACCCGCACTGAGGTGATCCACTCGAGAAACGCTGATATACCTATTTCTTTGGAAAGATACGCTAGTCTGGATGCTGTGTGAGTCGTCTGCTCAGTATGAGCTCAGAGTGATAACAGTTGTTGCGATATGTAGCTGCTATGCTCTGTCTAGGATGATGTCAATATCTTGGCTAGAGTAATATCTACCTATTGAGCAGTTTTTTTTTCTGTCCTAAAAATACCTGGTATAGAAGAAATATGTACTGATTATGCCATCAAAACAAGCTTTGTATAGAGCGGATAGATGGACCGTAATATAGACAGCTGGCGGGCTAATCAGATCCGAGCGAGTGGAGAGAAGAGAGAGCTATCTTAAGTTGTCTGCTATCGATATCGCCGCCGTCTCTGCCACTCGACACTCGAAACTGCACAATTGACCTCAGCATCCGCTCCGCCCATGACTTGATTCGATGATCCTTTTACCACTCGCTGTATAGGCCAAACTCCTCCCGATTTCTCCGGATCGTGTTGGCCGCATGTCGCCCTCCCAGTCCGCTGCCAGCTCCAGATCGCCCTCCAGATCTAGAACGCCGAACAACAACAGCAACAGCAACAACAACACGCTGTCACATTCTGCGTCCTTCCCCGATGTCCAGTCGGCCGCCTCCTACATCTCCTACCCCGTCTCTCGCGTGGTGTCCGGTCTGTACCGGCGCCTGAAGAATAATAATAATGACAATAACAACAACAGCAACAATTCGTCGCAACAACAACCCCGCCATGCGAGAAATACCGTCATGACCCCTTCCTCCACCACCTCCTCCGAAGTCTTCACGCCAAAACGCACCGCGTCTCCCTTCCAGCCGCCGCCACTGACCCCATTGACGCTCAAGTCAACGGCCGACACCACCCATCAGCTCCTCACCGTCGCCCTGGCGGAGGAGATCCGGCTGCTAGTGCCGCCGCGGCTGCAGCTGGTCGACACCTGGCGGCTGGCCTACAGCCTGGAGCGCGACGGCTCGTCGCTGGCAACGCTGTACGAGAACTGCAGGCAGTACTCGCACCGCAGCCAGCGTGCGGGCTACGTGCTCGTCGTCCGCGACACCTCCGGCGGCGCCATCTTCGGCGCCTACCTGACCGACCCGCCGCATCCGTCGCCGCACTTTTACGGCACGGGCGAATGCTTCCTCTGGCGGGCGAGTGCCTTGCCGTCGACGCCTGTCGTCACGCATCGGGGCAACAATACTGCTGGTGGTGACCACCTGATGACGGACGAAGAGCTCGAGAGAGCAGGACTACCGCCGCCGCCGAGCGCAGACACGACACACGCCGTCCGCAGCACGACCTTGCGAGCGAATCCTCAAAATAATAGTGCTACCGCCGGCGGCGACCATCTCGCGCCTCCTGGAGAGGCGAACGGATCTTCAGCAGCAGGAAGCAGCAGCTCCCGAAGCGGCACCAGCACGCCCGAGAGAATCCGATTCAAGGCATTTCCTTACAGCGGAGTGAACGACTACATGATGTTTTGCGAAACGGGGTTTCTGAGCGTAGGCGGAGGGTGAGTTAGCTAGCATCCATCCATGTCTGAACCTATATATATAAAAAAATGAATCGCTAAATATGTTTGTGTCTACAGGGACGGCCACTACGGCCTCTGGATCGACGACTCAGTCGAGAAAGGCGTCAGCTCGTCCTGCCTCACCTTCGGCAACGAGCCCTTGTCGGACGAGGGCACCAAATTCGATATTCTGGGCGTCGAGGTCTGGTACATCGGGGCGTGAATGAATTGAATTGATCTGAATTGAACTGAACTGAACTGAATTGAATGACATTCCACATGGCATCCTATGCATAGGTTTTTAGTTAGGGTAGCTATTATTGCTAGTGGATTGCAAGCAATCATCAATTATGTAATGATAATGAATGAATGGATGAACGAATGAATACCTGAATCTGAATTAAGTCTTCATTCACTTGGTTATTACTATTCCTATTGCTAGTCCTATTCCTATCTACTCAGTCTCGTCCTGAGAGAAGAAAAAAAAGAAAAGGAAAAGCAAAAGGAAAAGAAAGGATGATTGATCACTTGAATTACATTCGTAACCGGCAGCCTCGCATAGCCTAACCTGGGGTGAAAATGAAATAACCTCAGAGTACACATAATAAAAATCAAAAAACACAACGTAACAGCGTGATGACATAACAACTAAGGAAAATCAATAAGGAAAATCAATAAGGGGTTGTTATCAAAAAACAGGAGGGGGTATGATGTGTATTGAGAAATCATCCATCTGGAGGAAGAGAGAAAAAAAAAGACATAATCCAACCACCAATTCGCCCGCAAACCCAACACCAACCACAGATTCCGCCGCCCGATCGACTCTAATTAATACGGAGAGTTCACGATTTCATTCCGGCTCAACCGGCTGGCAGCGCTCCTCCTTGCCGGAGTCACTGGCCCAGCGATACTCTCCCGAGTCGGCTTCTTGAAGGTCGTCTTCTGCACCATGTTGACCTCGTTCGGCAGTGCGACAATGACATTCTTATCGGAGCCGAACCGGAAGTTGTCGGCCATGACTTTCTCGCTGTATCGCTTTATCGTGTAAGGATCCTTCTTCCCGGCAAGAACCTTCTTCAAGTTCCAGGTCACGATGAATGGACCAGTGGCAGTGATAATAGACGTCTCAGTCGAGTCGACACCCGTGTTGAAGCGCGCCGGTGTGAAGGCCAGTGGCTGCTTGGTCTCGTGCTGGAACTGGGCGACATGTGCAGGCTGCAGACCCAGGCGACGGGGCTGGGGCTTGGAGTCTTTTGCAAAGGACCGCTCGAAGCCGAGCTTGCCTTCATTCTTGCCGTCTTTCTGCAGTGCATCAATGAGCAGCAGGTACGTGCGGCAAGTAGCCAGCACCCAGCGACCATCCGCAGAAACATCGAGACCGATGATGGGTTCTCCAAGAGCTGGGATGTGTGTCTTGGCATTGACTCCAAGTCGATCGAACAAACGGATATCTCCTTTGTTCGAAGCGACAGCGATGTAGCCCTTCTCAGTCGTAGCCAGCGCAGAGAAATCGTTCTTGCTCGCGTATTGCTTCAGGTTGGCTTCGACCAATTTGTTCCCTGCGAGACGCGGATCAATCCGGTAGAGGGCATTGTTGGACACACCGAGGAACGTCTGTTCTGAGGTCATTTGCGAGAATTTCTATCAAAAGTCAGTAAATTTCTTTCGGATGGTAACAGGTAAACAATCTACTCACCTTCTCAGGAGCAAACGTTGTCACTGGAATGTCATCATGGACTTTCCACTCATCAACTACCTTTCCGTATTCGAGATCCATCCGGTAAAGGGTATTCGGTTCCTCCTCGTTTTGGAGAATCATATTCGAATCTTCACTGTGCAGCATGACCTTCTTGGGACTGAACAGTTTGCCCTTTGGCGTCTCCACCTTCGAGATGTTTGTCGAGAACTCCAAGTTGTTGTTGGGAGTATGTTTGAAAACACCAATCTTCGAACCACGGACGACGAAAGATCTATCGTGCTTATATCCGACAGCAAGCTGCGAGTTGACATTTCCATCATCGGGGCGCGTAACGACATCATCTTGCTCTTCATCGGTGTCATAATGTTCGCTGCGCTGAGCATCGTCTTCTTCTTCTTGCTCCTCCTCTTCCTCTTCTTGTTCCTCTTCGGCAGTCTCGCCTCCTTCAGGCGGCGAGTCCTCCATGGTGAGGTCTTGGAAGGCATCCAACACGTAGTCCCTATCATCCTCCTTGACCTTGACCCACTTCATCTCATTCAGTTGCTCCCACAGAGCCTGCATCAGACCTTCCTGGAACCTCTCTTCTGTTGGCTGATCCCTGAACCGCAGCAGCCACGAGTAGGCAGAACCATCTTCAGTGTAGTGATTGAAGATGAAGGAGAGATACTCAAAGTTGAAGACGGGGTTGATATCGGCGACGACAGGTTGTCCCAGCCATTCTCTATCCTTGCCACTAATTTGAAGCCAGTACTGCCAGGTCCCTATCTCTGAGACGGTTGCAACCACTTCGGGATCTTGGAGAATGAATGTACCGCTGGGGAAGTCGAAGAGGTGCAACTCTGCCTTCTCCTTTGCGAGAATCTCTTTCGCCTCGGGTGCAGAGGCTGATGGGGGCGCTGCGGTGGGCTCCTCCGTTGTAGAAGGCTTCAATGTGCCCTTAGCCTTGGCGTACTCCACGTCCTTTGCCATGGCTGCTGTAGACTCTGCGGATGTCGGCGCGACAGGGGAGCCAACGGGACTGGCTGACGGGATGGGGCTTTCCTCCTCGAAATAGAACTCCTTCAGTTGCTGCTCGGTCGCTTTCTGCGCGCTCCTTCGGTATTTCCTCTCGTACTGACACTGGACAGCAGCAAGCTCAAAGGTTGCAACCTTGTCCGAAGAGACCGATGAATCGCAAACGAACTCGTAGAGATCGCCCGGGTCACCACTCAAATCCCTCCACGCGAGGACCTTCTCACCACCTTCGCGCACCACAGAGCGGAAGCGCAGGGCCTGATCCAGAAGGAAGACCTTTTCGTCCTTGTCGAGGGCGCCTGTCGTGCCCTGTTCGTCCTCCTCCTCTGCAAGCTCCTCTTCACCTTCTTCGTACGCCCTCTGAATCACCAGTTGGTATTGGAACTCCTGACCCGTCCGTCGGATGGTAGCGGCCGCGTCTTTGAAGATCAATTCAGAGTAACCCTTTGGAGAGAGAGGACGGACCAGGTAGAGCTGGCCCTGCGGAATCTCGATGATAGCTTCCTTGGAAGTATCCCCAAAGAGGAATTTGCTCACTGTCAAGCAAAGATGTCAGTCGAACTTCCTTCTAGCAACAAACAATTGTTTAAAAGTTTAAAGTTTTGGTGTCGTGCTCAGAGAGACATCACATGGAGGGGTTGATGGCGGGGTCATAGCAAGGACGACATACCGTTGCGGAGCATAAACATGGTGGCAGATTCCCTTGCTAGCGCTCAAGAGCCTGCAGGGTCGAGTGAAGGTGTTGGAGGACAAACGAAAGGCAGGTGCAGTGATTATGGTGAAGGAAGCATCACCGACGAGGATGACGAGCTTACCAGGTTGCAGCTGCCTGTTTTTTTTTATGTTTGGACCTGTTGTTTTTTTCTGTTGTCCAGCAACGGAGCGTCCCCGCCTATCAATGACGCAAAACCCAAACGGGGTGTGGCGGCCTAGCGGTGGCGGTGTGTGGCGCAAGCTCTCTGGCCAATAATGGCCTGCAGACGGAGTGCAGCAGGCCGATTAGGCAACTGCCCGATCAAGGCAGGTAGCATGTGACTCCACATGATCGCTTCCATGGTTTTTCGCTTTGTACTTGCAGTGGCACATATAGATGCTGATATCTAATATATACATGTGTCTTGCTTCGGCTTTTATCTGCCATATATCGTATGTATGTACATTACGTCCATACAGAGTCCCTGCTCTAGCAAGCAATTGACATTGACAGAGGATGCATTCGATTCGCGCAACCACTCCTGGAACTGTCGCGCATCGAGCATATCGAAGATGTGCCATCGAGGCATCAAAAATTGAAACCAGATAAATCCCGCTGTACTGGCATAGGCTCATGAGTCCTTCGATTCTGCTGCATTCCCATCAGCAGCCTCCTGCTCATCAGCAGCCTCCTGTTCATCAGCAGACGATTCTGACTGGTCATCCGCCCCGTCGTCCGCCTCGTTGGCATCTTGACCACGGTTCTGTTTGAGAACACCACCTTTCCGCTTCGGCATAACTTGCATAAAGGCTTCTCCCCAATTCCTCAGCTCCAGCCACTTCAACATTATTTCCACCACGTGGTTCGTCGCAAGTACAAATCTTGTTGACATCTGCAAATAATCTCCAATGGGAAGCTTGGCAGTCTTGATGCCCCGTTCCGTAGCACGCTTGTAGCATATCCCCTTGTGTCGGTTCTTATCGACCAGCCCGCCAATAATGTATGTGCTGTACGGTTTCAGTTCCGTCAGCGTGTGCGGGCTTTCACTACTTAGATAGACGATTTCCCCGTCTTCTGGTCTTGCATCGGTCTTGTCCGCAAAGGGACCTTCCAGTTTGCCACCTTGAGGACCAGTCATCCAGTCTTTAGCCAGATTCGCAGCGTGGACAAAGTCCTCCTGCATGAAATGGACACCCTTCCAATTCTCATGTTGTTTGCACAGCACCGTGTCAAATCTCTGCTTCAGCAGCTTGTCAAACGTTGATATGGCGAGATGACCTCGATACGGTGCCTTAGAGTTGTCCGAGTAAGATCGCGTGATTTGCGAGGCAAGAGATGTCCGTTCCTTGTCCAGCATCAGGTCGTCAAAACTGCAGTCGATGACAAACGTGATCGGGACAAGGACCGATCGTAATTGGAGCTGTTTGTGGTAGGGGCAGGCGCATTTGGAGTCTCGCTCCCAGTCTCTTGAGCATTCTGGGCTGCTTCCTGAGCCGCCGCTCGCTTTTTTCCTGCGCTCTTTGCGCTTCTCCTTCCGCCAGAGCTTGCGCTGCTGCTTCTTTTCTTCCCATCTTTGCTGCCTCCGTAATTTCCTCAATTGGCTCTTCGACATTGTAGGCTGTGCGCCCTCACCATCCTTGTTTTCATCTTGATTTGTATTGCCCGCTTCATCTATTTCGGCTGGAGTACTAGCTTCGTCCGGCACTCTGTCAGCTGCGGTTGCTTCGCTAGGGTCAACGGCCCCTGTCATGACAGGCCCAAGATCTTCTTGAAAGAGAGCATCATTGGATTCGTCGTGATCCAGTTTCTGCATTTTCCGGGGCCGCTCTTCCTCCTCCATGGTTGAAAGGCTTATTGCAATAACGTCGGTAAATGATGATGCAGTTAACGCTTTTGATAGAATTTCGCAGCCGATCGCAACCAATGACGTGGGGCGGAATGCAGCCACATGAGCATCACGTGACGCGATGATCGACTTACACTCCTCGCGATGCTCCGACGACCTCTCCAACCTACGATCCAACATTGAAGTCGGAGTTATCGCTCACCAGCCGCCACAATGCCGCAGGATATGCCCCCCGCTGGGGGCTATATGCCTGTCCAGTACAAGGTACGTTGTCAGAGCTATCTGGCTCTCTGCACGAGGAATTGGGGTCGTAACTAATCCATATCGACTATTCACAGCGTAACCTGCCTGCCCGCGGTTTCAAGCCTGTCTACTATCTCATTGGCATGCACCTGATGATGGCATATGGCTTCTACAAGCTCTACTACGGAGTTCGCGAGAAACAGTATGGCTGCCCTGCCTTCACGTCAATCCGTTCCTGTCACCCGAGTGCCCCCGAATTGCAATCATCGCAATTGGTCTGAAAGTAACCAATTGCATTATAACCAACGTCACGGAAATGGTCGAGTTGCAAGGTTCTAACGCTACTTTTCTTCTACAGTGAGCTCGCAAGAGAGAAGATGTGGGCGCGGATTCACCTGATCCCGCTCCTTCAGGCCGAGGAGGACCGTGATCAGGTCCGACGATACTATGCCGACAAGGCCCGCGAGAAGGAACTGCTTGGCACTGAGACCAAGGTGTACAACTCTGAAAGGTATGTTTGCATGCTTGCAAATTGGCCCAGACGATAATCGCCCAAATTCGGATGTTAATTGTACTTGCGTCATGACAGATTCGTCCGCCCTACGTTCGCGTACACTCCTAGCAAGGTCACCGAGTAAACGAGAGGCAAAGGAAGCAGTTGAAGTTCTATCCCGGCCAATTGATCTATCTCCAACCGCGATGAATTATTGATTTCCGTGTCTGCCGCATCTTTCTTTTGTTCTTTTCTTCTCGTTTTTACGGGGAGTGTCACCGCATGTGGGGGGGGGGAAAAAGAAAAAGAAAGGACCTTGATCGGAAAAGAACTAGGATGAGATGGGGAGAGTTGCTGCCTGTACATATACTGATATACCGATCGACAAACACGAGTTTGATTTGGCAACACAAAATAAGGAATTTTATCTTCTCATTATTTTTCGAACCTGCTCTTAATACATAAAAGAAGGGTATCAAATTGCAAGTCCTATGGGGGGAAAGTAAAGGGAGTGTAATGTTGTGAGTGTAATGTGATGTGATATAAATGATATCGGATGATGATCGTTCTACGTCTCCTCCCCGCATCTCGCATCTTCGCTTGGAAGTAAGAGAAAAAAAAAACAGTATTTGTAAAAAAAAAATCAAGAACGGGAGATGATACGACACAAAAGGAGATGAAGAATGAAAAAGATGCAAGAAAAAGATAAGAGAGGGAGAAAAGAAAGTCTTTGACTCCTCCACCCCCCTACCTACCCCCTTCTGTTCCTGAGACTTTTGCTTTTTTTGCTTTTTTATGTCTTGCCTGGCTTTGCTTTCATATGAAATGCATACAGAGCATGCATGAATGCATACACATACATTGGTATGCAATGTACAGTACATACATTACCTAATATACCTTTTCTTCCTTTATTTATATCATCGACAAACATCGACAAAAAAGAAAAAGATTGATCGATCGATATATTGACGGATTGATTCTCCTTTTCCACCCCTCTCAATCTCAAACCTCGAAAGTTCGAGAGAGAGAGAAAAAAAAACTAACCAAACATATCCGCCACACCACCCAGATCCGGCCCGTCGTCGATATCGACCTTGCTGGGGCCCGTCTTCTCCTGCCCTTCCATCTCGTTCGTCATGTAGCGCGCCTGCATCGCGCTGCGGGCCTTGCGGCGCTCCTCGCGACTGCCCAGGATCTTGCCCTGTTCGGCGATGCTGACGCCGCGGAGGCCGTCCAGGAGATCCAGGATCAGGGCGCGCTGCTGCCGGGCGGAGGTCGAGCGCATCAGCGCGATTTCCGTGTTGGCGACGCGCGCCTCGGACATGCCCGGCAGACTGAGCATCACGGAGCGCGGCGTGGAGGTGCTGGGCCCGTAGAGGATCCAGATGGAGGAGATCAGCTGCGCGAGGTCCTTCTGCATGTCGACAAAGTACGGCTCGTGGACGGACGTGATGCATGCTCTGAGCACTTCGGAGGAGATAAACTCCCGGATCGTCACCGCCGTGGGCGTGTTGAGGGGAGGTGCAAAGTCCTGCAGGATCGAGCGGATGACCCGCGTGATGATGCTGCAGCATCGCGTGTCCCGCATGCGGAGGACATGCGTACAGAAAAGGATCACGGGTTCCAGGATCGGTGGGTTAGAGAGCACAAAATGACGCATGGAGTCGGAAAGAGAGGGCGGTGGTGGTGGCACGCTGGGATCAGAGGTTTCTGCTTCATCCGGATCTAGACTCATAGTGTTAGGAAGCATATAACAAGCCATTGCTATAGGAATGGAGAAAAAGAAACTCACCCCCTCTTTGAGGATCAAGCAGGCTCGCTACCATGACCACCGCAGAATACGTCAATTGGCGAAGGATGCTCTCATCTTTCATCTCCTCCGTCAGGTCACCATCGACAAGGCCTGCCTTCCGCCGTTCGATGCTGTCCCACTCATTCGTGACCTTTTTATCGATCTGCGTGAACAGAGTCGAGAGCATAGGAGGCAGGAACTGACTTCGAAACCGCACTGGGCAATCGTCGATCAGGCAGCGGGAAATATTCAAGAGGATGGAGAATTGATGCGACGAGAGATGCGTCGAGTCCTTAAACAGCGCTTCGGACAGCGGCACCGGGAGCTCTTCGAATCCGTAGAAGTATTCGCGGAGTCGGCTCATGCTGAAGAGCATCGAGTAGCACGTCTCCCGCACGGCTCTCACCTTGCCGCGGACTGACGATGCAAACCCTTCGAGACTGGACCTTGACTCTGCGATTTTGGCGTAGAAGTCATCTCGGCTCCCAGACGAAATGCCCGCTTGCCAAAATCGGTCTGTCAAAATCCGTCCCACGACGGCTTGCATGTCATCCGAGAGATCGCCCCAGTTCGCCGGATTGTGGAAGGCATGGGCGTGACTAGAGGCTGAATGAGAGAAAGCCACTATATGGGGGGCCGAGGAGTCTTACCTGACGAGCTGCAATAACGTCGGAAGGATCGTTGGGATGATATCACGCCAGAGACCGCACGCCAGTTCGTATGCCGGCTCAGTTCGTTTGAGCTTTTCCGTCGATACCGCAAGCAGCGTTTTCGTCGCACGCAAAGGAAGCAGCTATGAGAGCTGAATTAGTAACCTTCATAAATTTCACGCGTGGAATCTCTTACCTGAAACTTGGCCGACATTTCTTCCTGGATTCTCTTTCCTTCCTCATCCAAGGGAACCGTCGACCAATCCTCTATTTTATGCGCCTGTTTGGCTTGCATATACGGCCCGACTCTCTCTACGCCAAGCATTTGGCAGAATCCACTAAAGGAAGAGGATATTCTCTTGAATTCCTCATTCTGCCACGCCTGTCTAATTGGCTCAACAAACGCTTGTAGCCGCGTCTCACGGATGTAAGGATCGACATTGCTCGCCCGTTGTCTGTAGCCGTTAGTCGACGATAGCGTACTCGCGGTATCTCGAATACTTACGTTATGATCAGTAACACCGAATTCAACTCCGTCTGGAGTTTATCGTCCGTCTGATGCGCAGCAGCAATCTCCCTGATTTTGGGCTCCAGCACATCGTAAAACGTCTTGAAAAGCGCGAATTAGCGCACGCCTTCTCCAGGAATGACCAATAATACTTACAAAGAAGTAATCCGCATAACGCATTGAAAGTCGGCGCAACTCGTGACTCGCAAGACTATTCAATTCCTTCACGGCCTCTGAGTATGCTGGATACTGCGGCTGGTCTTCGACGTGCGTCATCAATATATGCTCCAGGACTTTGAGCGCAAAACTCGATGATTTGTCAAGGGCTCTCGATGAGATATCCACAATGAGTCTGATGACTCTCTGTTTTATCACTGGATCCTGACGGGCTGTCAGTCTCGACTTCGCATTTTTAATAAAAAAAAGTAGAAATATACCTCGAAGGTTCTCTGCATCAGGCTCAGAGCCCAAGTTTCCAAAATATTCTCTAATTCTCTCCGTTGATGCTCCTGCAGATGTCAGTAATCAGCAACCCGCACAAAAGAACGGGATATGATTACATACATCTTGTTGAGGCATCCGCCCATGTACTGTTACCCATTTATTGTAGCCCTTTAAGGTCGCCTCTACCACAGAAAATTGTGTGTCCGCACGCATGAGAGGGATCGATGATTTCTTAAAGGACTCAACTATTCAAACTGTTAAACCCAAAACCCTGAAAACAATTTGAGGGGAGAGAGAACGTACCGCTAAATGGCTGGACTCCACTGTATAAATTATTCAAGATCTGGTCAACCCCGGCGAGGATATGAGGAATAGCATCGTGCGGTCGTTTCTGAACTATTATCTCAATGACCGCAGAGCAGTATCGGCGATAATTTCCCACGAAAGCATGCCGCTCCGGTATCGTATCGATATCTTCATTTAGGAAAAGCACAGTCGGATCCTCCGAATCTTCCGGCAGGGACTCCCACCGCACAAGCCGCTGCGTGCAAATCTCCAACAAGGGTGCGATTAGACCTGTGACCACTTCCATGTCGCCGATTCTCTCCGACACCAGAAGTCGAGACCAGGAATGAAGCACCGGAATCGACACTGTCAAGCTTTGGTGCCGAAGGATCTCGAGCAGGAATTGAAAAAATAGAGGCATATCGATCCCATATGCGCCCTGTAGATTGAGTTCTTTGTCTTCGAGAAACCCAGCGACATAAGACATCAACTACAAACCTCTTTTAGCTTAACTGGAGTCTGAGAGCAAAAGAAAAAAAGTACAGTACATACCTCTGACAACTTTTTGGCGACTGCATATCTCGTCTCGTCGATGTCAGTGGCTTCAACATTAGACCATTCAAACAGCTTCCGAAACAGTGTAAGATGATCTGTCTGATACATTAAGAGTATCAACGGTTGAAATTCATCGATCTCATAGCTGGATCTACTGTACAAGGAATGGAGGGCCTCCACCGCAGCCTAGGAACGTCAGCCTCTTTGTCTGTCATAGGATCAAGAAGTAGGATCCTTACCAGAAGAACTTGGTCAATCTGCGTTGTCAATGTACGACAGAGAGTTGCGACCGCATGACAGGCGATAACAGCCTTTGGAATGGACCAGACCAGGACCGATCTCAGGACGGCAAGAGCCTTCAACGAACACTCCTTCGCCTCGCGTGACGTTTGCAGATTCTCGAGGCAGCTGTTTAAGAAATCGCATGTTCTGCTGAGCCAGCCTTCATTCCCACATCGAAGCTCAACCCGATGGTCTCTCTCCGGATAGACTTCTTCGAAGACGGACAGCGGGGTGAAAATCTCGACCAGGGCTCTGTTCAGATCGGTCCCTCGCAGAGATGACACGGTATCTTCGCGGTAGAAGATATCCTCCGACAGCGTTTCCAGCACGGTGAGAACAAACTCCTTGTGCAGCACGCTCGCGTTCCAGAGCTTGACTAAGGACTCGTCCATGCCCAGCCAGTCGATCCCCCAGCTCCGCTTCGCAACCTCCGCCCACAGCTGCGCGATCTTGTTGCGATAGTAGTTTGGATCTTCCGGCCGGATGGATTCCGCCAGCTGCAGCACCATGTCCTTGAGCTCGGAGATCTGCTCACTAGAAAGCATGAAACCGGTGTGGCACAGGACATGGTCCAGAAGGGACAGGCCGAAATGCCTGACCAAGGGCGAATTATCCGCCTGCGACGCCAGCAGGAATCCATTACGAGCGGCCGCATCCCCCTGTTTTTGCGATTCCAGGAAATGGAGAGCCTGCCTGCGCAGTTCATTTGATGACGTGGGGTCGTGGGAGAGTTCCAGGGCTCGTATGATGTCGGCCATGCCGCCCTCGGATAGCCCGTTGGTGGCCATGGTGGGTGCGGTTTCTTCTCACCACCAGGTCCGACGCAACAGTTATACGAACCTGAACCTGACACTTCCTTTGCAGGGCTGCACGGCCGGTGTCATAGTCCGGCCTGTTCAGGCTGAACTTGGGTGCAGGCAAACCAGGAGCTTTTTGCCCGCGGACACGACGGAGCCAGCCGTGCAGGGTAGTGCCCAACTGCTAAGGGAATATTCGAACGGCTTCTCTCTGTCCTTTCTCTCTTCTTCTTTCCGTTCTTGGTTCTTATCTAGCCAGCTCTAGAGTATGCTTGCTAAGGGAGCGCTTCTAGTTTTGCCTGCTTTGCCGTTTAGGAGAAATTAGATGATAATAATTAGTTAAGCAGGATGCTGACGCGGGCGGAGAGATTCTTGGCCGTGATTTGCGAGACTTTTCAAGACGCGCCTTTTGCCGCCCAACCCCGGCCGCGGCAACAAGCACACCGCTCCAGCATGCAGACTTGTGTCTACGCTTCACCCTCGATTTATACTAAGAAGGTCTCCACCCTGTCAGCCTTGGCAGCCTGCTGCGGGATCACTCCGTGGTGGGATGATATCATGGCTTCGAGAGTGCTTCGCTGCCGTCGATTGTCCAGGGTCATGTGTGGGGTCTGTGTCAGGTGATGGAGATCACTTGATCTGGATGGACTGGCAAGACTTTGGGTATTCTGCATATGAGCGAGTAGTGCTTCTATATACATCGTTGATATATTCTTTCCTGAGCGGATACCACAGAACCACAAGAGGAGGGAAAGATACTGTACATACATACATGCAATTAATGCAAATGTTCTACGAACCCATCACCGTCTGGTTCAGGTAGAAATCCTTCACAGTCCTGGGCCTGGACCTGCAATTGCCACATTGACACTGTCTCAAGGCCTCGAGACTGTCTTGCATACACACCGTCTGCTCTGGGAGGGACGAGGATTTCTTCTGATTTTGGGATTCAAGCGTCGCGATCAGCCTGCCAATCGTCATGTGTATCATGAAGTGACAGTGCGAGCGGCAGATCCTCCGCGCCCAGATCTCTCGGCAGCATTGCAGAGTCTGGATGATGGTCTGCCTCGGGGGCATCTCGATGCCTTGGTGGCGCATCCCCCCGGTTTCGTCCACCCCGAGAGCATCGTTCCGTGCCACTTGGAGACACACGATCAGCGTTGCGATATAAAAATCATGTTTGAGGAATTCGGCCAGCCAGACGCGGGTCTTGGGAGTGCTCAAGTCCTCCGACATCTGGCGTTGGAGAACAAGAAGCGCAAGCGAGCATTCCAGGGTTGACCAGTAAGATATTTCATACTGGGTGTGCGCTTCTGGTTTCTGGCCGTAATACGAGTGTAGGACGAGCAATAATCGCCGCAGGAAGATTTCCAACGTGAATTTCTGAAGATACTTCCAGTCTTCTTTCGTAGCTGAAGGAGTCCAGTCGTATACCTGCGAAGCTTCGTAGAGGAGCTGCTTGATCTCAGCACCATAACGAAGCACCTGGTCGTATTCAAAGACGCCAGCTGGAGAGTTAGCATGAGAGACCACATCAACCGCTATACCAAAAGATCGCGCCAAAATGATCTGGAACGTCGAGTCTGTGTATTCCATCGACGGTCTGATTGCCATGTGCAGCGGGATAGATGGGCTTAGGTCCACATCGTTGACATTTGCTGGAGGTTGTGTATTGAAGCCGGAAGACCGGAGAAGAAGCGGCATCCCAGTCGATATCGACATTTGGATTTCCATGAATACGATGGTAGTCCAGAGTCGCCGGCGGATTTCTTTTTCGAAAGGGGATATGTTGTCGTCGTCTCGCGGGTCACAATGAAGGCCGATCGACATAGCGAGTCGAACAATAGTGCTCATGAGGGGACCACATGAATCTAATTCGAGGCAACTGGATGCGGTAGTCCGCTTGGCAAGAACCATCATACAGAGTGTTCGCAGGGTGGTGAGGTTGGGGGCGATCAGGAAAGGAGTGCTCTTGAGACATGTTTCCGCTCCCTGGAAGAATTTCTGCAGCACCTCGTCCTCCGTGTCTCTGGGTGTTGAAACTTGATCATCGCTCTTGCTGGCTTCATATCCAAGAGCAAGCATCACTAGTAGCTGAGCTAGCCAGCTATCGTCGACGGCAGCGGGATTCGCCCAGAACCGTGACAGTTCGTCCCTAAAGGTCGGAACATGCAAGAGTGGATGCGTCCGTTCAATTGTTTCCAGGTAGTTCTCTATAAGTGACGCTGTTCTTAGGCGATCGGGTACATAGGTCAAAATCTCGTCTTTTGAGGGAGAATGACTGTTATAACCGAGTCCAAGGGGATAGTTAAGAGGTGGTACCGTTGAGCAGAAAGGACTTCTGATAGCGCCAAGCAGCTTCACGATACTACAGTCTCTAGTTTCATATTTGCCATTGAAAAATGGCAGATTTGTCTCAAACTATGCGTCATTCGACATCAGAATTTAGACTGCAGAAGTGAGAGAGTCAAAAAGCTACATACCTCATGTAGAACAGCGCGCACCTCGCGCAGAACACTAGACCAATGAGTTGCACCTCTAAACTTCGATTTCCATACGACATGGAGATCATAAAAGTTATGCTGGTTCCCTCCGCATTCTTCTTTCCTTGACGATATGTCCAAGGTTTTCGATGAAGTGGAATCAGAAACAGAAGGAGAATGCCTATCAGAATCCCCATTCTGGAGCTCTGGTCTCTTCGGAAGCAGAGGATGCTTTGGCTTTGGATGAATAGCTGGTGGATTGATTGCCTTGGAGGCTTTGATCTGGTCCTCACCAGATGATCCATCCGCCGGCGAGCTTGAGTTCTCTGTGTTCCGGGGGAAAGGTGCGTACCGACAACTCGCAGCTCTATCACTCCAGACACAGTGTCCACAAGGCCGTCCTCTGTCACATTTCACCTTGAGTCGACGGCATGGTAGACAGGACAACGTTTGACGTTGTCGTCTGCGCACTTCCTTCTTGCGCTCATTAGTAGGCACACTGCACTCTGAGGTACCCAGAGCTGGAACGTTGACATCCACCATATGAATATCTGGGAGTCAAATTTTTCATTCAATTCGTTACACAAGGAGTCCAAATGAAAGATTAAGGGGAGATGTGACTGATGTCTTTGGATCAGATAAGACTAGGTAGTGACTAGTTGACCGAGGCTAGATCATGCGGGAGGTTAGTAACTTTATTCCTGGATCCACCGAGATATAAAAATAGGCCAGCTCCCACGGCAATTCCTACAACTTAATGGATTTCTGTGCCAGCACTGCTTTTGTAATATCACTGATCCAAAAAGCTGTATTTCTACAACGGTCATGAGAACAAGTGATGAAGCACCAGGAAGACTTAGGTTCTCAGATATACAGTACAGGTACCCACCTAAATATATGTATGGAATCCGATTAGCCGGGTCACCCGAGTTAATCAATTATCAAGAATTATCTGATCCGGCGACAACATAGTTGTCTAACCATTTCCTGGAGCCAACTACGAACTCTGGTTTGGATTTCTATAGGATCATCCAGAGCAGTATGTTTGAGTATTATCATGCCATTGTATCGTATTCAATGAAAATCAATAAGCAGAATGCAAGCTTCCGGGAACCGCGAAATGCGAGATGAATCAGAGAACGTGACCAATGAAATCCGAAGAGAAGAAAACCTGAAAACATCCTAAGCTGTGGTTTCGGAACCTTCTCACATCACATTGCATGTGTTTTTCTGGCATTGTTCCAGATACGTCTCGTCCTCGTCGCTGTTGAGGATCTCGCCGGCCTTCCGTTTAACGCCCCGAATCTTGATCTCTTGCTCTCCCTCGCCATGCCACCATCTGAGACGCTGAACGGTGCTAGATGCCTCTTCATCTGACTCGATAGTCCATTTCCCCCCGCTGACGGTAACAACAGTCTGTGAACTGGGGAAATGAAATTCGGGTAAGAATATTTCTGTAGGGGCGTGCTCCGCTGTTGGGCCGTTGGCACTTAACGACAGGGTGAAGGTACAGTTGCGTAGGTCAAACCCGTATCCTAAGAGATCCCCATTCGTGTAGATCGGGCTGGGGCGGATGTACGCTTCGGCTGCCCGAAAACCGGGCTTAGATACCAGCTCTGGCGAGGATTTTGACGATCCGGAAGACATGTGAGGCGATTCGACAGCGGTTTTGATGTTGTTTGGTTCTACTTTTCCGTAGTCCGTCGTACTCTGACTTTGTGAGAATGAAGGTGAATTTCGGTCAAGCGATGTCCTAGAGCCGTTTCGCTGACCGAGAACGCTGGCATTTGGAAGCTCCAGGTCGTCCTTAGAGAAAATAGAGAGATCTTCACCATTCCATTGGTCCCCCCATTCGTGGTCGTTCTGCCGAATGCCGTGAGCAATCTATTCTTTGTGACATTAAATAATTGGGCGACACCCATACCTGAGTCATGTACAACCACAATGTAAAACCGTTGGAGTTACTACCTTCCAACGCAAAGTGATTCGCATCCATGGCGCTGGTCTGACTACTGTAATCGCCAGTCTTGTATGCGTATTTATTGTCCATGTCATATGGTATCCCAATTTCGGTGAAAATGAGTGGATGGTCGCCCATACATTTGAAGCTTTCCTCTCGAAGGAACTTGAGCTGGTCGCGAAGACAGTTCCTGATAGCGGTCTCTCCAATCTTGATGGCGAATGCAGGCGTGAGATACTTCCCACGAAGAACGCCAATCACGTCGACATTATAAATCCGGTTCCTAAATGGTCAGTTGGTGAAAATTTAGCATCTAAACATAAGAAACTAACCAGTGCTTCGTAAGAAGAGTCAAGCCATCGTAGAAGTGGACCGCGTGCACCATGTTGGGATCGTCATCCTCTGTCCCTTTCAAAACTGGCGGCACCTCCATCACAGGAGGCTGGCAGAACAGGATGGCATCAGAGTGTACACTTCTGATGGCATCCCTGTAGGCCCTGTAGTGATCTAAAAAGTAGGTATTGGTGAACTTATCGTAGTTCAAAGGCTCTCCGGTTCTGGGATTCTTCGCAAAATAATCCTTCCGTAAGAGCTCGTCTGTGGAAGGATCCCAGACACCATGCTGGGCCCAAAGGCACTCGCCTAGTTTCCAGCCAGGATCTCTCTTCCAGCCATAGGTGGTGTCATCATAATCGGCAGGTAACCAAGCAGACTCTCCCTCTGGATCGACGAGTTCTCTACCAGTTTGATGTGGACCAAAGCCGCCAAACTCCCACGTGGTCTCTTCGCAAGCCCGCCCGGAGCCTGTCAGCATCGCTTGAAAAGCTGTTGGCGATGTTCCTAGTTGGAGCTGTTGTTCGGGGGGAATAACAGATATATCCTGGATGCCAATCAATCCACGGTGGGGTTCATTGATACTCTCCCAGCCGATGACAACTTCGTTTTCGAGATCGCCGGCTTCGTGAATCTTCTGGGCGAGGTATTTACAAGCCGCAATAAAATGACTCTGAAGGTAGTCCTGGATGTTCTGCCCGTCGATGATCGCCTTGGGCGCAAAATCTCGTCCACCCCAGAATAAAGTAAACATGGTCTGACAAGCAAGTCGGGAGTAGTTCGTACTCCATATCATCTTCGGGAACTTTGTGGGGTCGGGATAGGTATTCTGTACAAGAGCAGCTTGCGTCTTGTTAAAGGTCCTGGGGTTAAGACCCGCTGCATATAACGTCCACATGGGAGCACCAGACCCGCCTGATAATCTGGACCACTTTGGAGGCGTCAGCCACTACCGGCTTCCAAGCACAACAAGAGCGTGGGCACATACAACATCCTGATGGGGATCCATGAAAACGTAAAACCCATGTTTCTTTGCTTCTCGTAAAATCTTGATCGTGTGATCTATCCATTCATCGTCATATTTCCCAGGACCGGCATGTTCAATGGCCTCCCAAGTAAAGACGTATCTGATTGTATTGTAGCCCCATTTCCGTAACCTTCCGAAGTGTAGAGAGGCTTCTTCTAGAGGAAACGGTCGACCAACAAACGATACATTGTCTGCATCGTAAAAATTGTCGGATACATGGGTTGGCATGTCAGGAACCGTGGGGTACTTGGCATCCCCAGCGACATTGATACCCCTTAGGGTGATCTCTCGGTTGTTTGGATCCCTGAACTTATGTCCTTCGATCCGCAGCCGTAAAGGAGCCATATTGTAAACTCGTCGACAAAATAAAAATAAAACGAAAATGAAATAAAGGCGACAATGAAAGAGACGGGTGTATTAAAGTGAGACTGCGGACCAAGGGCGGTGTCGTACGGAGTATAGCTGTCGGGGCTCAGAGACAACCTGGCGGGCAGTTGATTTTATATATTGCTAATCCACATCAACAAGCTCTATATCTACCTGCAATGAGGAAGTGATCGTCAATATCATGAAGGATGTATTCACAACTCGCACAACTTCCTGCACGCGACATGCTTACCTGGACAACAGCTCGGACGCAACTGGTGTGAACAAGGTTAGTGGCCAACTCAATGGCTACCGGTTCCAGAAAAAAAGTCCTAAGCTTCTAAGTCCATCGAAGGTCTTGATACCGAAAAGAATCACTAATAAATGCCCAGCTGCCAAGCATTGGGAGAAGACAGTAGTACGACATCCACCGCCCTGCGAGGGCGGATGACCCGGGCGGTGAGAGATCCGGGCGATACGGATACGAAACACGCGATAAGAACAAATACGAGAGCCGGTGACGTATCGCCGCTTTTCCCCACGGAAACCCACAATAGCGAGACCAGCGCAGCTTTCACCACGCAGAACAGGACAGCTCACAGCCAGCGGGCGGCAATGAATATCTGCCTCTCGTGGCAAGTCAGTCTTGTCTAGAATGTCTGCTAAAGCAGCCTTGAAGGCTGTCAGGTCGGCATTAGACTCCAAAGACTTCGAACTTGCAGCTACCAAAGCGAAAGAGATCGTCGATCAGGACCCCACCAACTATCATGCGTACGTGTTGTTGAAGACTCCTATTGATTATTACCTTTGGCTGACTAGAATGATTATCTAGAAATGTCTTCTTGGGACTCGCGCAGGATAAACTCGGAAAGCCCGATCAGGCGGAGAAGGCCTACGTCGCTGCGACACGCATCAAGGACAACGATAAAACAGCATGGCAAGGCTTAATAAACCTGTACGAAAGGCAAGGGGCCAACAAGATTGACGCTTACCGTGATGCGACTCTCAAATTAGGACAGATATATGCGGATGCGTATGGTTCCAATTATGTCCCTCTTTCGTAGAACGTTGCTAACAACTCATTATGACCCCAGTGATGAGAGGGATCGTTGCGTGGATGTTGTTGATAAACACATCAAATTCGCTGGGAAGAATGGATCCCGCACACAGCAGAAGCAGGCGCTGCAGCTACAGCTTCCAACCTGTCCCCTCTACAATTGCCTAGAAGGGAGGGTTCCGCACCCCGCGGACACGTATCTCCGGTTGATAGAGATTGCAGAGGCAGAGGAGAAGGAATTCATCAATCGAGAAATTGGTGAGAGAAGAACTCGCCTGGGCGCAAAAATTGACCAGGTAACTACGGAAGTGAAACGGGAAGCATTCAAACGGACTGAGCTCGATGAATATTATCGCGGCGTAATAGATTGGTCCAATGATGACGACGTCCGTCACAAATACGAGGAGAAGCTGTTGCAGCGGGCTTACAACCTGCTTCTTGTTCTCCCATGGGACCAGAAACCGGCTAAGCGAGAGGAAGTCTATCGATCCGCACGTGACATGGTGATCATCAAGCGCCCGTTCGACCTTGCTTGGAAGATCGTCCTTGAATGGCAGGATGCCGAAGATTTCACCGACTGGGACATTAGCCTTCTTCGGGAATTCACCGAATTTTTCCCTGAAGATGGGCTTAGTAAGGTTTTGCAAGGGTTCTTCACGAGTGATATCTCACCCTTTCCTAAAGAGACTCCGTCACGGGAATCAAAACAGGAAGAAACAAACGGCGAAAATGCTGAAATGGCGGTTGAAGATCGTTTGATACTCATGGCAGATGGTCTCGAACATGCACCTTCTTCAATCATTGCTCATCGCATCATGGGCCAGCTCTATCTGAGTCTGGAAGAGGATGGAAGCGCGGTTGACGTGATGCGCAAAGGTCTGCTCGTCGTCAAGGATCTGGTTAAGCAGACCGGCCTCAACCTCCGCAACACAACAGATGCAATTAATATTACACTGGCAACCGCGTTGATCTCCTACCAATCCCCTCGTAATCACCCGGAAGCCAAGGGCATTTTTGAAGATATCCTCAAAAGAAAACCCACAAATACCAGCTGCTTGCTCGGCGTTGGCTTGATACTTGAGGAGGATCAGGATTACGGAGAAGCAGTCGATTTCCTACAGCGAGCCTTAGAACGCGATCCTTCCAATCTTAAAATCCAGGGTGAGCTTTCCTGGTGCAAAGCACTCAATGGTGATCTCGAAGCTGGCCTTGAGGGCCTACAAAGGGTGCTTGATGAAATACAAAGCACAAAGGGCCACAGCCGAGAATTCAAGGCAGAGATTCACTATCGAGTCGGACACTGCCAGTGGGAACTGGATCCATCCCCGTCTGCCCGTAGGGATCGTAATGGGGCGTATGCCAGTTTTCTCGCCTCAATTCAGTCGGACATGAATTATGCCCCTGCGTATACCAGCTTGGGAATCTTCTATGCAGACTACAAAAAGGACAAAGGCAGAGCTCGTCGGTGTTTTCACAAGGCGTTCGAGCTGTCCTCCTCTGAGATCGAGGCTGCGGAACGCCTCGCGAGAGCTTTTGCGGATCAGCAAGAATGGGATCTGGTTGAAGCCGTCGCCCAGCGAGTCGTCGACTCAGGCAAGGCCAAACCCGCTCCAGGGTCCAAGCGAAAGGGCCACAGTTGGCCGTATGCCGCTCTAGGGGTCGTCCAGATCAATAGACAGCAGTACACCAAGAGTATTGTGTCGTATCAGACGGCACTGAGAATCTCACCAGATGACTACCATTCTTGGGTTGGTCTTGGAGAGAGCTACCACCACTCGGGTCGGTATATTGCCGCGACAAAGGCCTTTGAACACGCAGAAGCATTAGAAGAAAATCTCTCCGAAGCGGAAAAGAGTAATACCTGGTTCGCCCGGTATATGCTGGCAAATGTGAAGCGGGAACTGGGAGATTACGAGGATGCGATTACGAGATACGAAAACGTACTAAAGATCCGACCGAATGAGTTTGGAGTGTTGATCGCCCTCCTGCAGACGCTGACAGAGAGCGCCTGGAGAAGCATTGAATCCGGGCTCTTCAATGACGCCGCCGAACGCGCACACAAAGCCATATTGACTGCCACCGAAATGGCCAAGGAACGACCCAAGGTCTTTAACCTATGGAAAGCAGTAGCCGATGCGTGCTCTATCTTCTCCTACATCAAGGACAAGGCAGTGCTCACGTCAATTTCGGACATCCATGCATTACTGGGCATCGAGCTCGACGAGAGTGCTTTCGACATTTTGGCAGATACAGACGATGTGGGAAGAAATTATTCAACCTTACTAAACCCTACGGATGAGCAGGATTCCGTAGCGTCGAATGCTTGCATCATTGCCACCATCCTGGCGTGCAAGCGCGCGGTGTTTGTCTGTGCGGATGATGTCCATGCGCAGGCAGTATCCTGGTACAATCTAGGCTGGGCTGAATACAGAGCATACAGGTCCATCGAGCTTGGTGTAGGGAAGAGAGAGAAGAAGCAGCCCCGGAAGTTCCTCAAGGCAGCTATACGTTGCTTCAAGCGAGCTATTGAGTTGGAGGCCGGAAACTCGGAGTTTTGGAATGCCTTGGGCGTCGTGACATCGACGCTTAGTCCTAAAGTTGCTCAGCATGCGTTCGTCCGTAGTCTCCATCTCAACGACAGGAGCGCACAGAATTGGACGAACATCGGCGCCTTCTATCTAATTCACAATGACCTTCAACTTTCGAATCAAGCGTTTACTCGAGCGCAGTCCGCCGATCCCGATTATGCTCACGCATGGCTCGGACAGGGTTTCCTTGCTCTTCTTTTTGGGGATCCTGTGGAGGCCAGGGCGCTTTTCACGCATGCTTACGACATTTCCAGCTCATCCGCAGCCCTGCCCAAACGCCAATACACCCTGAGCCTCTTCGACCATCTCCTCCACGATCCGTCCATGTCAAATGAAATATCGCAACTGATCCAGCCGTTCTTCGCTCTCCATCAGCTGCATTGCCAAGAACCGTCCGATCTGGCTTTCGAGCACCTTTCTGCTTTACTAGCAGAGCGCATTGGTGAATTTGCGGACGCGGAATCCAGCCTACGGAATGTCTGCGCCGGAGTGGAAGCAGAGTACGATGTGACGGAGTCATCATCGGCATTAGCACGCTTCGCACAGGCCAATGCGGACATTGCACGAGCACATCTTGCCAACTATGAATATGAAGCAGCTGCTGAGAAGGCAGAAACTGCCCTCACGCTATCTGGGGAAGAAGACGCTGCGAAATTCGACCCGGAAACTATCCGCAAACTGCGGTTATCAGCTCATCTCACTGCTGGTCTGGCCTATTATTACCTCAAGTCGATGGATCAAGCAATCGACATGTTCCGTGACGCCCTTCAGGAGGCAGACAATGCTCCTGAAGTAGTGTGTCTGCTCGCGCAAGTGCTCTGGGCTAAGGGTGGAGAAGAGGAACGAAATGTGACTCGGGAACAGCTGCTCGATTGCATTGAGAAACATCCTGACCACGTCGGCGCCGTCACTCTCCTTGGAGCCATTGCCTTGCTCGACGCAGATCAGGATGCCATTGAAGCGGTCCAGGCCGATCTGCAGACGATGAGAACGAGAGAGGATGTCGAAATCCATGATCGCTCCAGGGTAGTCAAACTGCTGAGTGCCATCTCCGCCATGGGATTCAGCGCGGACAAGACCGCCCCTGAGGACGAAAGACGGATTGCTGAGGCAACCACGGCGGTCATGTTAGCACCAGGGCAGCCACATGGCTGGATGGAACTGGCCGCTACCACAGGCGAGCTCCATCCCGCGAAAATGGCTGTCAAGACCGCACTTCGCAGTGTTCCTCCAAGAGGCGGACTGGAGGCGGAAGATCTGTGTCGGGCGTATGTACAGACAGGGATCATCGGGGACTCACTCCGTGCTGTTATGGTTGCCCCTTGGAGAAAAGAGGGCTGGGTAGAGTTGGCTCATACTTTGTCCGAATCAGCATGATCATGTTCTTAAAACATTAGGGCATGTATGATTAGAGTTATATAAAAATCAAAAATGGAAAAAAAAAACCAAAAGAAAAGGCGGCCTTACCATAAGATCATGTAGATTCAAAGATTAATTCTTAGTCTTCCTCAATCATATCTCCATTGGCGACCCTCTCCCTTTGCTCTCTATCTATCGCTTCAATTCTCGCCAGCAAGCTTTCCTTTCTGCTCTTTCGCCAAGCAGCATCCATTGCCTCGATCTTGCCTCCAAGGAGCGTTACCGTTTCCGGAGTCAGCAACACCATGCCTCTCCCGACGACAGTGTTCTTCAACAGCAGCTTTGCTCCGATGGGAAGCTTCCCAATCGCGATGCCCTCTACGGGCTTCAGCTCCAAGGCGATAACCTTTGTTCCCGCTGCATCTTGGAGAACGAGACGATGGGGCCCGTTGCTGGCATTTCCCGAGTTGTTGCCAGAATCGGCGTTTGCATTGCTGCTGGTTCTGCTGGGATTGCGGGCTGTAGTTTGGTCGGAAGATGAAGAAGACTCTGTGCCCTGATCGTTTCTTTTGTCAACATTCACGTTTCGCACAATCGCCTTTCCTCTAACTGTTTCCCCTCGCTCGATGCGCTCGATCGCTTCAACCTGGCTCCACAGACTCGTGCCAATGTCCTCGATGTCGAGGACCTGAACAGGCACCGGTCCCGGGATCCGTCGCTCCTTGATAGCAGGATCAGAGATGTTGCCAGGAAGTAAAGCAGAAGGTGTCGAAGTAGACAGAGACACTGTAAAGTTGGAGGCGAGAATGCGGAACAGAGCTGTCTGGGTCAAGGCCGAGATCGGCGCGCGTTGCTGCTGTTGTGATGTCGACGCGAGGAAATTGGATAGCCAGGATGGCGAAACTGGGAGAGATTTCGACAGCAGATGGGCTTTTATGTGCTGCTCAGGCGTGTTCGACATTCTTCTCAGTGGGACAAGGCTTGTTTCCTGTCAGAGAGGATCTGCTGGAGTCTGAGTTGGAATTATTTGGGCCTTGATTGCCTAGATTCGAGCCATTGTGGCTTGACAATGGACAAATGTGATCTTCTTTCAGCAATCTTCCTGGATGTGAGAGTTGCTTCTCGCAAGGGTGTGTGAGTTGGTGTGTTAAGGACGCAAAGTTGTTCTGTAATTGCTCTTATGCGGGGAAGCAGCAGGAGCGGCACGGACCGCCGCCTCAAACTATCGTGATAGCTGTCCGAGCTTGCAGCTATTACTCCGTGACGCATCTCAACGCTCCTTTGTCCTCTCCTCAACTCCAGTATCCACCACTGCTCGATTTTTTGTCATAATGTCGACCATCTCGTCTCCTCGTCCCTCCATCGCTTCATCTCGCGCCCATTCGCCTACTCCCACCTCCTCGCGCCGGCCGTCTACCGACAATCTCAACGTCAACGTCAGCGGTCTAGGTATCAGCTCCGCGCCGGGTTCTACACGCGCTACGTCCCCTGCTCATCGTCGCAACCGTGCCGCTCTCCGTGATTACTATAACCTCAAACCGGCGGGTGCAGACTCGTCCAGCGGCGAGGCAGGAGCTCTGCGATCCGGAAGTGTTCCGCGGACCACCGGTGCAGGCGATATATCCAGCCCGTCCACAGCCACGGTCAATCCCGAGCTAGACAATCCAGACTTCGATGCCCAACGCTATGTTGACCAGCTTCTTGCCACGTCCTCACTTGCGACAGTACTGAAAGCAGAGAATACTCTTGTGGGCGATATTCGAACACTCGATGGAGAGCGCAAGGCTCTCGTCTACGACAACTACTCCAAACTGATTCGGGCTGTGGAGACGATTGGAACGATGCGCAAGAGCATGGAGGAACGAGGAGCTCCCCTTACGATGACCAAGACGCTAGGCCCTGCCGTCAGTTTTGTAGCAGAGACTGCTGGCGCTCTTATCCGGGAGGGAGAGGAGCACAGGCGGCGGGTGAAAGAGGCTCAAGGCGCTGGAGCAGACGGGAAAACTGCGGAGAGGGAGACGGTGAAGTGGGTTCTTGGAACTCCTGACAGGCTGAGGAGGTTTCTGAGCGAGAATAAGAGGGAGGAGGCTGAGAAAGACTGGGCGGAGATTGAGAAACTTTTGAATAAATGGGAGGGCGTTAAAGGGGTTGCGGAGCTGAGAGCAGCCTGCGAGGAGATCATGAAACAGGACGAAGGGGTATGAACATTGAGCTGCTGCTGAAGAGCAAGCATCTCAATCGGCTGTGATCTGGGTAGCCCATCCGCTGCAGAGGATTATCATTTCCTCCGTTCTAGACGGATGGCTTCGGAGGAAACTAGGACTCATGCAAGTCCACATTACGTCTACAGCGCATGTCAATGCGTGAGGTCTATCCGGCCAGCCATGGACCGTGATTGCGGAAGCATCGATCTACTTCGCAAGATATCGCCTTGACAAAGGAGGTCGTGCACTTATCGATAGCTCCTTGACACGTCCAGGCTCTGGCCTTAGGCGGGCTGCCCGCTACGTTTCATAAGCGAAATCGAGGGTCATGGACGAAGCTAGTTCCTCGGATATTCAACATTGGGTATCATGGCGCAGAATAGAAATAGATAGATGGATGGCGTCGAATCTCACTTTTATCATCATCCATCATCATCATCATCATCAGACGCAGTTAAATGCACACATAATCGATGATAATGAAACCAGACGTCAAATCTTCCCCGTGAGCACATCCCGACTGGAAAACATACTCGCACTCAATCCGTACGGATTCCTGCTCTTGATCTCCAGATACGTATAGGCATCGCACTTGTAGTAGATGGGTCTCTGGTCCTCGTTCACGAGCCCCAGATCCACCAGCTTCAGCAACACCCGTCGAATATCGTCTTTGTCCTCGAAATCCTGCGTATACACCGCTATCAACCTGGCAGCGGAGGCACCTCCGGCCTCCTCATCCTTCGTCGCGACTTTTGCTTCCACGCCTAGTTCCCCCTTCACGGTCGCCTCTGCAACCACGGCCCAGAACTCGTCCACCCGATCCTCCGTCGGGAACAGCATCCATTTCCCCGTGGTAACGCCCGCGCTGCGCGCGACCGCAAAGATATCCGCCTTGAGCTGCTCGCGGAGGGCGTTGAGCTTGCGCGTCAACGGGGCGGTGGTTCTTCTGCCTTTGCCCGTGCCTGTGCCCGTGGTCGTGGTCTTCTTCTCATGCTCCGCTTCCAGCCTCGATTTCTCGTTTTCGAAGCTGTGCAGGAGATCGGTGCCCTTGGCGACGAGGTCGGCGATGTTCGTTGCGTCGTAATCCGTCTTGTCGAGGGGGTTGCGGACGTGGATCCAGGGCCCGATGTCTTCTGCCCGGGTCGTCGAAGGAGGTAGTCGTTTCAGAAACTCTGAGACTGATTCCGTCACCTGCCAGCAGTGGGTGCGACCATCGTGGGGGTGACGGCGACGCGAAGCTAGGGATTTCGCTGTAGAAACTTCTGCAGCTGTTGCTGCTGCTGCTGTTGAACTGGAAGAAGTGAGGTTTCTATGGGCAATGGTCGAAAGCTGGTGCGGATGAATGTGAGACCAGTAAGGAAGAGGGTCGTAGGCGGACGCCTTCTCTTCCAAGGAATCTTTCATCTCCTCGTCTCCTAGAAAGCAACGTCAGTAGGAATTACCGTAAATTTTGGAGACTTGATTGCTAGATATATATATCCTCTTGACTCGAGATGTATCGATCAATTGCACACGCACCATAAAAGCTGGAATCATTCGAAATTGTCTCCTCGACAGCACTCCAATCATCGGCCATATTCGTCAATCGGACATCCAAGTACTTATTTACTTTTAATCAGTGGTTTTTTTCCCCCTGGCCTTGTAGCGTCAGGACAGCGACCAAACTGGCAAGATCGAGAACAGCAGATAGATAATTGAGCAGGAGAATTATCCAAGAGCGAGACAAGTTATTATTTACTCCGGCCAGTGTTGAAGAAAAGAGAAGACGAAATGATGCTAATGGTATGATAAGGGCTGAGGTCTTTGTTAATCCACCTGCTCATCCATCCATTCAATCAGTTAACCAACTTAGCTCCTTTGGTTTTAGTCATTATGCATGTCGCCTGTCAGGGCTATGAAGGATGGTGTGGGGAAAGCAAGTAGAGATAGATGTCTCTCCTCACTACGTCACAGTTCTTTGTTTACATTAGGTAGGAGTTTTTGTGATTCTTGGTTGGCGGAGATTATTTATTAATTTTTTAATTAAGTTGTCAACGTGCCCCACAGTTACGATAAAGATTGTCGATAAAATTATTCCAGTGTACGGAGTAGATCGCTAAATATATATCTCTACTTCATCATATTACTCCGATAATAAAAGGAATAAAATATACCATTCGAATATCCAAGCCGGATATCCTTCAGTGGTATTTTGACTGGAATGGAATAGAATACATAATCCCCTCTTCTTGACAAAAGAATTATTATTAGTCGATCGCCAACCGCCAATTCTCGATCGATTGATTCTCTCGATTGAGCCGTGACAGATTCAACTAAAAAAAGAAAAAGAGAGGAAAAAAAAGAAAGAAAGAAAGAAGGAAGGAAGGAAGGAAACAAACTTAATTCAACAATGAACGAAGAAGAAGAGACAATACAACATCCATCGTCACTAACAACCGTCTTCCTGGACCAACCGCCAAGCTGTCTCGAATTCTGCCCCGCCGATCCCGACCATTTCGTCGTGGGGACGTACCTCCTTTCAGAGGCGAAAAAGAAAAATCAGGACGACGGCAATGGAGCAGAAGAAGATGAAAATGAAGAAGTGGTAGTGGACCAGAAAAAGACTGGGAGTTTACAGCTGTGGCGGTTGGATGTGATGGCTTCTGAATTGTGAGTATGAAATAGATCAATATAATATGCACATCTCGCTGCGCCTTTTATTAAAGACTACATGTCAAGTATATATGCTTACCTCGTATGTGCAGAACCCAGAAGCAAGTCGTCACCCTACCGCACGCTGTCTTCGACCTCCATTTCCATCCTCGAGAACGCACTCTTCTTGCCGTTGCGACTAGCGCTGCTTCCGTATCTCTGTATCGCGTTGCCAGATCTGAGGCGAGCGCCCCAGATTTGGATTTTCCCCAGATCCAGCACATCTGGACGATCCAGACGCATGAAGACCCGACTATCCCTGCGCTCTTCCTTGCCTGGGCTCCTGAACGGTGGTTTCCGTTCGGTAAGAGCGTATGCTTTTGTGATGGATCTACCAGCGCAGATGGCTTCGCAGTCACGTTCTCAGACGGCAGGACGTCCGTCTTCACAGCTCGGCGGGGTGGCGAGCAGCTCGTGAGGGCAGAATTTGTCGAATCTCAATTCGAACCGCGGGAAAGTATCGAGACGTGGTTCGTTGCGCTGGCCACGTTTCAGCCAGCATCAAGCAGTGGTAATAATAATGCACAGGCAATCCCGTTCCTATTCACAGGCAACGACTTCGGCTCTCTCCAGACACGACGGTTTGCACCTGTCGAGCAAGAAGATCCCTCTAACGACGGGGATATGGATATGGATATGGATCTGAATAATTATGAGGCTCTCAATTTCGACGACAAAGCCCGTCACCACACCGCCGGCGTGACAGCGATCCTCCCCCTGCCCACCCCGTTGATACAGGACTCTCCGTTGCTGCTAACAGGAAGCTACGACGAGTTTATCCGTGTCTATCACGCGACGCCCCGGACAAAGGGCAAGGTCCTTGCCGAGACGAGATTGGGCGGAGGCGTCTGGCGGTTGCAATTAATCGACATTGTTGAAGAAGGGCGAGAAAGAGATCCGTTGACCGTGCAGTCGTCATCAGAAGATGATAGTAATGAGGATACTACTTCGTACAGGACGAGATTCCTCATCCTGGCAAGCTGCATGCATGCCGGAACGAGGATATTAAATGTCATATGGCGGAGGAGAAGAGCAAGAAGTAGCAGCAGTTCCGATGTCACAGACTCGGGATCAGGAGCCTTAATTGAGGAGGAGGTTGGAGAGTGGGATATACAGCTCCTGGCCAAATTCACAGAGCATCAGAGCATGAATTACGCTTCTGATTTCTGGAAACAGAGAGGCGATGGAGGCGGACGCGGTGGGAAGGAGGAGGAGGAGGAGAAAGAAGAGAATAAGAAGCAGTTAGTATGCCTCTCGAGCAGTTTCTACGACAGGAGACTGTGCTTGTGGAGGGTTGACATCTAGTCAGCTCAGATTGAAAACATAGAATTATACTAAGTCGTAGAAAGAAGATGACGAGTGGGTGGTCTCACCCACTCCTGAACTTGATTCTGCTCTTCGACCCTGTCTCGATGGATGTAATGCGCTGCCATATCTATCTATTGCATGCGATATAACGAGAAATATGGACCGCGCCCGACCCCTCCTACGAGAAACGATACAAGACATGAAATCACATTGTGAAAAAAAAATCGTCAGAAATAAGAACCCCAATCCATTCGCTGGAATGCACAGCAATCGAAAAATATCGCAGGAACTAGAATACAACCCATATCAAGCTGATGAAGACCGAAATAACAGAAATCGAAAACAGGACAACAATCGTATCGCCAAGCAGCAGCAGCAGTAGTAGCTCGTAATGACTCTACACGATCGTCTCCAGCTCTCTTGCGTATCCGAGCGTGTTTTCGATGATGGTGGCACTCGACAGGGTGATTTCTTTCTCTGGTCGTTGCCCTGCCACGAGAGGCTCGACAGCCCCTGGGGCTCCGGGAACGGGTGCAACCGTCTCCGGCTGGGTTGGGAAGTAGATGCGGCCGTCCCGCAGGATCCAGCCCCGTTCCTGTGCGAACTGTATAACAGCACCCTCGGAGTCGAGGAACAGGAGGTTCTTGGCGTTCGAGATGGGGAGAGATGGGTAGGCCTTTTCGGAACAGTCGGCGATCTCGCTTCGAATCGTGCCGACCAGAATCTGCAGAGCATGTCAGTGACAACCCGCAAAAGAGGAAGAGAGGAGTATTGCAAGGAGATGACATACACTCGAGAACAGTCCAAAGTCCTCCGATGGGACCCTCTCCGACTTCGTCGCCCGCCACACCTTGTCGTAGCTCCCCTCCATCAGACTTCTCTCCAACTCCACAGGGTACTTGATGAACGGATCGTCCTCGACACTGTGTCCCCTTAACGAAGCCTCCACGACGAGACCCTCCAGCACGGTATGGAACTGGGACGTATCGCCCGAACTCAGCAACAGCATAAGATACAAGCCCGTGATCTTGCTTCGCTGGCTCGTCTTCAGCAGATCCACCCACGGCCCAGACGCAGACCCTGTCGTCTCGAGATGCCGCTCAATATCGTAAAAGAGCTGCAGTTGCTGGTAGTATCGGATGAAGGAGGCGGAGTCGGTCTGGCGAATGGATGTGAGCGCTCCGAGCTCGAGAATCTCCCGCGCTTGGGCGAACAGTTGCGGCGGGGTCGACGCCGTCGGGATCAGCGCATTTTGGTGGAGCAGAGCACGCTTTGCGCGTGAGAGCACATTTACAGCGTTGTCCAGCTGTCTCTGGTCAAGGCTCTTATGAAGCTCGGTGATAAGGGACCGTAGGTCGGAAGACATGATGACAGTTAGGACAGGAGGAGGTGGAGGATTGAGGGGACGGTATTAACCAAAGATATGTCGTTCCGCGTCAAGAGGTCCGCGTCAGATGAGGAAATTAAAACATAAGGTAGAATTAGAGACGTGGTTGTGTCCTGTTTGCTCGGTGCTGCTTCACAGGCAGCTCTGCTATGACGAGCTCCGGCTCTCACGTGACAGTTCGATAAGCCAATGACGTTCAAGAATGTTCTACGCCAGTTGTCAGGGCAGTAAATATCTACGAGAAAAAAAGAAAACTAAAAAAAAAGGAAAAGATTTCTTTCATTTTTTTTAATAATGATTATCATACTGATTTACCTCTGCTGTCGGTAGTACGCTACAATCAGAGTGTTAGGATAACTGCTCGGACCATTTGAGTTCCCATTGCGAGCTTATCTTGGCGATGAGCTCGATGAGGTAGAAGCCTAGGAAATCTGGAAAATAAAGTTTTATAGGCATCTGAAGCATATCAGGCTATGTATATGATAATGATAATCACGCCTTCGTCGCGAGAGCAGACAATACATCAAAGAGAGGCGTTCCGAGTCCAGTCACCGGGTCCCAACCAGGCGTAGCATTCCAGCTTGCGTACGGCACATAAGCAGTTCGCAGGCCAGATAGGGGGTCGATTCCAGCACAGCCAGTCGAGCCGCCGTCGACGATATCGGTGAACCCTTGTCCATCGAGTCCATAGATCCAGGGATTCAAAAATCCCAGAGTGGACTTGTTAGCAGCTAAGCGGACCGAATTCAAATTGGCAATGATGGCGGCAAAAGTAGGAGCAGATGCACTGATGTAGAGTTAGCTTGAGCCTCCAAAAAGAATTGCCAAACACTAACCTAGTTCCACTCACTCTGCTGAAACCCCCATGGTCGACGACGGCGTAATTCAGAGCTTGAGCAGCAACATCAGGGAACCCTCGTCCCGATGGATTGTAGAGGCCCTCCCATTGATCTCCCAGCTTGGACAGATAGGCGCTCACTGCTTTTTCTTGATATGATGGACGAGGAAATCGTTCCGAAAACCCGCCAGAAGAGAAGTGAACAGCTTTTTCGGGATTGATCTGATAGGTACCACCCACAGACGTGACAAAGGGACACGAGGCTGGAAAGACAGGGTTGAATCTCGTGGTGTTTGTTCCATCATTTGTCAAACAAGAACCACCGACTCCTTCATCACCACTGCTGAAGATCACTGAGACGCCTCGCACCCCCAGCTGGGCAAACAGACTGCAAGTTGCATTAGAATAAGACTCAGGAACGGTTTGTTCGTTCTCGCCGTAGGACGTGGACAGTACGGAAGGTAGTTCCTCGTCGGGAAGACCCAGGAGATAGTGCAGCTGCTCGAGGTAGGGCTCGTTGGACGAAGCAGCGATGTTTGGCTCGCTCAAGTCTGGGACCAGAGGGCCACGCCCCCCTGTAGTGTAATATACAGTAGGAGTTTCGTAGGACAATGCGATTCCGTACTGGATATCCAGGCTAGCTTCAATGCTATCCGCGGTGGAATTCTGCTCGTTAAGCCCGCCGTTGATGGATTGTACCGTGAAGTTGGCGTTGACCCTGTTCGGGGCGTACGTTTGCAAAAACTCCTCTAGATAATCATAGCGGGCATATTGGTCGAGGTAGCCGGAAATACCTAGCTTGTTGCGCGAATCCGGACTGGCCACAAAGTCTCTTAGCTTATACAACTTCCGCAGACAGTCGGGAGTGACAATTGAATTGCAGTCCGTTTCCACATTTCCCGCATCCAGAGCTTTCTTGAGATCAAATACGAAGCTTTTCTGCGGCCTGACTTGCCCAAAACGTGTCGTCGGCTGAATGAGGTGAATAAATGGACGGATCGCTCGTGGTACTGAGTACTCCAGGGTGCGAATCTTGTACATCCCGGTGATCGTGTCACGGAAGTAATAGAAACGGGTATCCAACATTCGCTCTGCCTGCTTCACGGGGACGATGAACTTGATCCAATCGCCATTATCCTCAATCAGGTCCTCAGACACTCCTTCCGACTTGAGCCAGGACAGGATTATCTCGGAGATTTCCGATGAAGGCCGTAGGAAGGCTTTGATCTCATCGCGCTTCATATGCTTTCCGTACATTTCATGACCAGGAGTCGCAATATTGATCGCTAATTGCTCGAACTCAGCAGCCCGTTCCTGGCGAATAGCGAGGCGAAATTGCATCAGCGTGGATGGGGACGGTGGTGAACCCCGGATCCATCCGTCTGGTACAGTCTGGAGGCGTTCGACGATTTCATACTGCCCTGATGAAGTAGCCGACGCATGTGGCAATGACAAAGAGAATGACAAAGCCCACAGTAAAAAAGAGAAAGGACGCATCGAGACTTCAAAGAATGACTACCCAGAACGAAGGACAAGGAAAGGGGGCGAGCGTTGGGATACAACGACTGCGTACATCCACAGTCCAAAAGAGGGCGATAAGAAAAAAATCACGAGCTGTCATACTCTTCTCTTCTTCAGCAATGCTTCGAGAATGAACAAAAGGCATGGGGAAGGATCGGCGCAACATGCAGAAGGCATGCGCACCTTCCGTCTGGGCGGTAATGCCAATGACTCCTTCGGGGGCATTCTGACGCAGGAACGTCGTTGCAGTCGGAGAACAATGCAACAGCTTATTCGGAGACGTGAGTTTCCCTAATAAACTATGGGTATTTATTGAAACGATTGGCTAGGAAGCATCAATTGCTGAAGAACACGCAGATGGATAACCTGTCATGCAGGCATTCCGACGTCATGGCATCCTGTCTTAGCATTCCACACAGGGGGCAACAGCAAGGAACCGCCGGCTATGTAATGGCTCGTTCCATCAGCAGACGCCGAAACTCAAGAAAGCACGCCTTTTGATCTAGCAATGGAAGAACCAGTTTGAAGCTCTCGCGAATTATTCCAGAGATGCCCACGTCCATTGGAGTTTGTTGCGGAACTGATGCTGGAGCAATTGTTTTAGATTGTGTCTGCAGGGTATCTTGATTAGTACCTATACATCCGCTTGTATACGAGATGAAATCCACGGTAGCTCTTATGCGAAGTTGGCGTTTATAAATCGCAACAGCGTGTTCTGGAATCTGGAGATGACAACTGATGCCCTCGATGCATGTGACAGTCACGTGCACCACAGGAAGGGGAAAGGGTCATGTGAGATACGGAGCATCGACGTCACCGTCACGGGGATAACTTCGCTCAGCAGCTGGTTGATGAACAGGTGTCGTTTCTTAAGTGACGGCGGAGTCGCGGACAGACATCGCAAATCGCGAGGCCCCTTCCGCTGTGGCTCCATGATCTAATTACTTAGTCCTGTGGAGCTGCCTCTGACACTTTGGCACCGTCAAAGCACCTTGGATTCCCCGCCGTGCCCCTCCTTCTGCACGTTGGAGCTCCAGAGGATTTCCAACACATCGATGACATGCGTGGATCTTGAGTCGCAAGGACGATTTGCCAATAATCATGACACTGCCCTGATTTTTTTATCGCCTTATTGCCCTTTGGGTCCGCGTCCGCACGTATGATTGTTGACGAGTCCGATTGAAATTCGGATCACACGTCATTAATACACATCGGGTGATCCGGACCTCTGGCTGTATATACGATACGACATCTCCTAGCCAGTCGATCATCTCGCCTCCTGCAGCTACCACAGCGTCTCCAGAGCCATGTCTGACATAACAGCATTGGAGGAGCGCCTGCCTCCTGAAGAGAAGGAGCAGAACTCCAAATCCGACATCTCGCTGAAAGAACGGTTCTTCCGTTACTTTCAGCATGAGATCACAGGTAGTCCGCACTTGGCGTTTTATCAGTTTCTATCTTAGGGTCTGTGTGACTGACCTCCTGTCTAGCTCTGCAAGAACAAATGGACCGCCTTGCGGACACTTCTCTCGTAGCTGGCGAGCGTTCGGACGCTGTCGACCACTGTTTGGCGGGCATCGCACGGCTGTCGAATGAAGTCAAGGATGCGTCGAGTTATATTCCCACATACGACCAACGGATATATGCCGAGGTGAGTGGATCAAACTTGCTTTGGAGGAGCCTACTGATCAATCACTTGCAGGCAATCAAAGCGCTGCAGGACAAACTAGCAGAGACGCGCGCTGCAATAGCCCCACGGACGAAATTTTCGTTCAAGACGAAGAAGAATGCCTCCGCTGTCTCCTTGACGGATGCTGCGGAGATTGCTGCTCAAGGTCGTCGTCACATCCCACCATACCGCTCTCCTGACGGGTCGTCCCGCGACTCCTCAATCAATCCTACTCCAAACTATGCTTCGACACCTGTCAATGAGCCGGAGCAGCAGCAGTTAAGGCCGGAGATTGCACCCACCTCGTCGCCGGCCATCCTTGAGGAAGGCAAGGACAGCTCGTTGCTGGAACAGAAATCGACATCCGTTCATCGTCCGACATTTTCTAACGAGTCATCAGTGTCCGTAAACAACCACTACGGTCTGCATATCATGCTCCCCGCAACGGCGTCCAGCTCGTCGGTGCCAGCTTCCATAACCTCTCTCCGCCACTGTGTGGTGGACATGTCCATTCCGACGACGAACGGGAAACCGTACGCCAGCCTCACAGTCAAAGGCGTCAAAGAGAGCCTTCTGATCTGCGGCCAAGTGGAAGGGCCGGCGCACATCACGGGCGTGGAGCACAGTGTCATAGTGGTATCATGCCGGCAATTCCGGATGCACAACTGCGTCGATGTCGATGTCTATTTGAGTTGTTCTAGCAATCCGATCATCGAGGATTGCAGCAATATCCGATTTGGACGGATTCCAAAAGCATACGTGAGTATCTTCTCATCATCATCATCATCACATAGGAAACCCCGACTCATTCATCTGACTCTGCACCTAGGCTCTTGATCAGAACCAGCCAGACGATTCCGACCGCTGGAATCAAGTCGAGGATTTCAAATGGATCAAACCCGAGCCCAGCCCCAACTGGAGTATTCTCGACCAGAATGCGGCCGTACCGGAGGAAGTCTGGGCCGAGATGGTCCCTGGCGGACCATGTTGGTCATTGGAGGACATTCTCCGTGCGACCAAAGTGATGAAAGAATGAGAAACAACAAAACGATGCAATACAATACGAATAATTAACTAATTAATTGGCAGGCAGGCAGGCAGGCATATCATGTACAACAAGCAAAGTACTTTATTTTACTTTTCTTTAATATTCGTTTCATCATCTTCATCACATTATTCTTCTTCTCCTTATTATTCTTCACTCATTGCCTTTTCCTTTCTCTTTTTTCCCCATTCCCTTTTTTCCCCACCGTCGAATAGTATTATGTACTGTACCTTGTATCAGATACAAGATTGGACTGAAATAAGAGATTTAAGATCAATTAATTAATCAATCAATCATAGTAAGACTGGAGTCAATAAATATCACTCACTCACTCACTCACTCACTCACTGCGTTTGTTGGAATCTTTGTCCCTCCGACTCTCGTGGATATCATTTCTTAATTTTTTTTATTTCTTTATCTTGCTGTTTTAAGCTATTTAGCAATAAAGCATGTATATACTGCATATGTAGCTAAGCTATTCAGTAGCCATGTGATGGAGCAAGTATATAAGGAGGCCGGAAAATATATATATGTGCGTATTGAATAGGTGTTAGGTAGGTAGTAATGGGCCAGTAAGCAAGCAATCAATCTATAATGACAGCCAGGCTCTGTTTCATTGACTTGCTTATGTATCCACCTATCTACCTATCTAGCAACATTATATTAATACTAGAATGCTTACTCTTTTTTTAAAAAAAATCTTAGGATTTTCCTCTTTCTCAAGCCACCTGCCTCCTCTCCTTAAATCCTTTTTCTATTTATTTATTTTAGGAGACATGGACATGGACATGGAACATCGACATCTACCAGACATAAAAAATAAAAAAAGAACATAAAAAATTTTATCCGACAAGAAACTAGTATACTAGTATACTATAACTAAACAGGCTAGAAGAGTAAGTCTTCATTCGTCCTTTTCGGTTGGTTGTCGCCTCCCGATGATGATGTGTTGTTGGTGTTGGTGTTCCCAGACAGATTCAACCCTGCGAATCCGTTCATCAGATCTCCCTCTGCGCCGCCAAAGCCGGTGTTGCCTGTCGAGGCGGCTGCGCCGGCGCCGGCGGTGTCTCCGCCGTTGCCGAACACGCCGAGCAGATCGTCCAGGTTGTTGCTGCCCGTCGTCGTCGCTGGTGGTGATGTAGTTGTCGCTGGCGTAGTCGATCGCACAGGTGTGCCGGCCAGGCCCTCTGCCGATGCAGGGGCCGCGCCGTCAAAGTCGATGTCGAGGAGGTTCTCAACGTTGCTCTGAGCTTGAGGTGGAGGAGCCTGTCCCGTGACTGCTGCAGCAGCGGCCGCGGCCAACGGGTTCTCACGAGCATTCTGCTGTTGTTCCCTAGCGAGTGAGTTAGCATTGGACGAAATGTAATGTGAAGCCAGAAGAATGGAACATACTCGATAGCAGCTCTCTGCACAGCATCGGCGCCAAACCGGCCCTGACCCACGAATTGCTCCGGAGGCTTGTGGTACACAGACGCCAATGTCGACATCTCCTCCAACAGCTGATCCAGCAGAGCTGGAGGTAAGGACTGGATGGTGGTCGTGATGGGGGGTTTCTGGGAGAGGATGACGTTCTTCGCCGCATTGGGGTCCGTGGTGTTGGAGAGCAAACGCCAGTAGACGTAAGCGCGATCCCGGATGTCGGGGTTGTCGTTCTCTGCTGTCGCCGCCTGAAGCACTTTCTGCACCAGGCCCTGGGCTTTGTCGGGCCTCTTCAAGAAGAGCTTGACGACCGCGGTCAAGATTTGCAATTGTGTCTGCCGATCCGTTAGAGAATCAATACTGTCTTAACCTGGAGGGACGTGGAACCATACCTGTGTGAACTCCTCATTGAATCCTTCAACGAATCCCCCCAGGATATCACCTGCGTTGCTGATCTTCTCCGCATACTCGCCCACAATCCAGACGATGGCAGCCCGGGCGTTGGGCTCATCCAGTTCGTCAATACACTTACATAGCGTAGGGATAATGCCCTCGTAGCCCGGGTATTTTCGGAGGATGTCGCGGATGACCACAATGGCCTCCTGGACGACGTAGTTCACCTTGGTGTTGATCAGGTCCAGGAGAACATTGACACACTTCTCGCTGGCGCTCTCGATCTTGATCGCAGTCTGGCCAATGGCCTTGACAGCCCTCCGCACGAAATCCATGTCGACTTCGAGGGCGTACTCCTTCAATTCAGACAGGAGCTGGTCGACATTCCGTTCGTCGGCTATCCGGACCATGATCTCGAGCTTCTGGAATTTGACATAGGGAGGGTCGTTGTATTTGCAGAAAAAGACACGCAGTTCCCTGTTCAAAATATCCGGCTGTTTCTGTAGCAGCAGGTCGATATTTCTCAGCGCCACATACTGGACTTCGGGTGCCGACGAGACCAGAGTGACTTTTATCGAGTTAGTAACACCGCATCGCAACTATATGGAGCGCCAGCGCCACACATACCGAGTGGAGGAGCCATCTTCTTAAGGTAGGTTTTCTGCAGGTCCGGATTGATGTGTTTCATGTGCAAGAGGACGACTTTGATCGCCGCCAAAACCACACTGGCGTTCACATGCTGGAATTGAGGAACAACTCTCTCGCAGATGTGCTCGGATTCCTTGACATCTGCCGTCTTGTACTCCGCCAGCGAGGTCAGAATCTTAACCCGACCCCACTCGGTACACTCGTTCAAGGCCATCAACAGCTTGCGCAGCGTGTTCGAATTGATCTCCAACGCCTTTGTCTCCGGAGCGGTCTCGGAGATCTCTGCCAATGCAGTGACCGAATTCGCGACCACCATGGGGTTGGGGTCTCCGATCATCTCCTGCAACATCTCAAGGAACCCGTTTTCCAGGCACATGGTCGGGTTGAGGTCGAACAGTTTGGCCACACAGATCGCGGCCGTCTTCCGAACGTACGGCGACTCGTCTCGTAGCGTCTTCCGGAGCGGTTCCTCCATGTAGTCCACCATCTTATCTACCCGGATACAACCCATTGTCCTGATGGCTAATGCTCGTATGAGAGGATTGGGGTCTTCTGAATCTTGTACAAAGGTATTGACGGCGAGAATGCAGAGGTCCGGATGCGACTTGGCATAGTTCCTGCAGCACTCTATCAGCCAGAGGTACCGGACAGGGAGACTCGACGACCTACATTAGGTAGAGGTATACGAGTTTCTTCTGGTCAAGGTCGTTGGTTGCGATATTCTTCAGGACATCGGGGAACAGCGCGGACACATCTTTGCCCAAGGTCATTGCCATGATGGTCTTTTGGATAGCCTCTTTCCTGCACAAATCATAAGTATGCCTAATTCCGATCCGTCACCAGATCTGCGTCTGCCCGCGTACCGTTCGTATGCATATTGGGATCTGAGAGACGCAGGCCAGTTAGCATTATCCCGCACAAGCACAAACTAATCAGACATGGTGTCTCGTACACAAGGCCAGCCCTCAACTCGAACGTCTCTCCCTTCTTGGGCACCTGGAAGGCGCCCCGCAACCGGTTGATCGCCATGTCGTCTGCGATGGAGGTGCTTCAGCAGCGACGAGGTCGCGCCTCCGCAATGGGGGAGCGGGTCGAAAAGGGGACGAGGACGGGCGAAGAGACGCGGGGTGTGCGGCAGAAGACAGACAGGCAACAAAGCCTCAGGAGAACGTGGCGCGGCTCTGGAAGGAGAGATAAGTCGAATTATCTATCGCATTATTCTTGTCCCCGCCACAAGTCAGTGGGAGCAGACGAGACGCTGGAGGGTTTGCTGCATTTGCACTACTCCGTTATGTGTCCTATGGTGGCTGATCCACCCGACCCGCCATCCAGCGCCTAGTCTGCTGCTCCAGTTTACGTCGCCGACCGCCCGCAACGACTGCTATTCCTCCACGAGGATTCGCTGGATATATACAAAGACCTACCTGGTCCCAATCATGGTGAGTAGTGTATATCCTGTCTGAGGCCATGATCTGACTGGCGCAGGCCAATCTCCCCAATTTGCGTCGCCTCTTCGTCGAGGCGCGGACGGAAGCCGAGGAAAATGAATACTCGAGAACTGCGGTACGATGCCCCTAAGGGGAATCTATGGCATATCTCTGGCTGACGGTCACGATAGTTCTACAATCTGGTACTCTTCATCTCCTCCGTCGCTGTATTCAGCTTGGTCGCCCAGCGGATGAGCGGAAAGCAGCATAAATAACGGGTGATGATCTGAGTCTCATTTCGTTACTATATGCGCATGCGGAGTCATCGTATTCTCAAGGCAGTTATATATATCAGTCGTCATAAAACAAACACGCCATAGACTTCGTGATGACCAGCCGACACCCCGAAGACCTCCAGCTCAATCCGTCTCTTCGCCGTCGTCGTCCAAGAATGCCAGGCTCTTGGGCCCTCGTGCCAGTCTTCTCCTCGGCCGTCCCTCGTTATCGCTTTCCTCCCCTGCGCTGCCAGTTCCCCATCGGCGGGCCCCTTCCTGCACCAGCTCCAGATCAGCTTTGAGTTCCCGCTCTTCCCGGATCCTCTTCGCCTTCTCGAGGGAATATCGCCCTTTCATTCCCGCGTCCTCCAGCATCTTCTTGAGATGCTTGATCTTCGCTTTGGGCGTATCGTATGGAGCCAGCTCCCGCGACCACATCTTGCGGATTCCGCACTTGACTAGCCAGCCCTGTAGGCGCTTGATCTCCGCCTGATCGGGATCCAGGTTCGGGTCCGCTTTAGCCGACGTTTTCCTCTTGCTTCTCTTCGCAGGGGTGTCTGCGCTCTTCTGCTGCTTCCGTTTTGGTTTCGGTGCTTCATCGAGCACGACAGACATTTCACTTTCGGATGCCTCTTGATCGGCGCCTGTCTGGCTGGCCTGGCCCTTGTCCGCAACGTCTGATTCCGCCACGTTTACCGTGATCTCTAGGTTGGACTTCTTTTGAGGCGAAGCACTAGCGCGTCTCACGGGCTCTGTAGCCTCGCCTTCGTCTCCCTCGTTGCTTGGTGGGACAAACGACGACTCCTCCGATTCTTCAACCTGGTACGTCTTTCGACGTTTTCTAGGTTTCGGGGAATCTTCCGTTGGTGATGGTTTGGTCGGTTTGGTCGGTTCGGTTGGTTCGGTCGGTTTTTCTCGTTTCGTCGGTTTCTCCTGTTTCTCCTGTTTCTTCTCCTTCCCCTTTGGCGGAGCTATAGGCTCGTCGTCGGACGTCTGCTCCTCCTCTTCTTGCTGCGCTTTCTCCTGCCTTACCTGCAGCGATGAGCAAAACGCGTCAGTTAGCATAAATCAATATATCCAACGTATGTATATGTATACATGTCCTGTAAAGGTAGAAGCAAAAAGAAGGAGCATCCACCAACCGCTTCATCCTTAATAATCTGATCGCTCTTCGCCTTCCAGCGCGGGTCGCCCTTGAAAAACCCCTCCTCCAGCCCCAGCGCTTTCTCCGTCGCATGCCGCACCCGTCTGACCGTCAAATCCTCCAAGTTCCCAGACCGGAACACGTTCGCGACGGTATCACGGAGAGCTCTCTCCAGGCGCTCGTCGGATGGGACAGTCCTTGCCGGAGCGGGCGGCTCCTCCTCCGCCTCGTCAGAGGAATCGTACATGGCATAGCGATGGGGCATTTCTTTCTTTTCGTCTCGTAGAGCAAGGTATTTGTATATGTATGGGTATGGGTATGGGTATGCTGTTCTGTTCTGTTCTGTACTGTACTGGACTGTACTGGACTGTAAATGGCTTGTACACGCGCACGCGCGCCAGGCAAATCAGAAAATCATATAGACAGAACAGAAGAAACCTGTCGCTGGAATGCAGCAAGAATCAATCGCGCGAGTATTTTATTTTAATTTTCGGTAATAAGAGAAGGTTGAATTAAAAAAAAAAGAAAAGGCGCGTGCGAAATGCGGGCAGTCGTCAGTAGTGAGTGCGTTGTTCTGCGGCGCGTGACGGTGCTAATGCAATGCGAATGCAATGCGGAGGAGGAGCTCTGCTTGCGGCATGATCTCATCAAAAGTCCTCCGTAAGCTTCGCTCCAATCCAATTGTTTCGTTTGTCGGCGCCGTGCCGAGCCGGTGCGGACGGAGACATTTATTCTATTTCTGCATGGCATCCATGGCCGTTATTATTAATTGATAATTAATCTTCGTTAAATTTGGAAAAGTTAATATTTGATTCAATCTTATTTTGATTTTTTTTTTTGGCAGAGTGACTCCAATTTCTTTTGTCGTCTTCTGTCGCTCTGCATTTATCGGACTTGATTGATTGAGATTCCTCTATTCTTCTTCGCATAAGCACTCCGATTACTATACCTCGACGACAACAGTGAACAGACCAGAGTGATATCAGCAACATGAGCAATCAAGTCCCAACCGGTGGTGCCTCGACGACGGCCAAAGACGAAGAGATAGCAAACAAGAAGCTCCCTCCAGGAGTGGTGCTGGACAAGGATGGGAAACCGTGAGTTCCGTACAGAAGAAGACTTTCGTCTAGCGACTTGCCTACGTATGGACTGACTTGACTGACTGGTTCCTCTCATCCTAGATGTCGCGTTTGCACCTCGGCCGCATCCTGGCGCGCAATGACGAAGAAAGCCGCTGCGTCTTCTGCTGCAGCAGCAGGAGCAGCAGCAGCAGCTACTACTGCTGCTGCATCCTCCTCTAACTCAACATCAACAACAGCTGCTCCGACATCGACTCCCCCAGACGACTGCCCTCCCGACGTGGAAGCCCTGGGCCGGTCAACATGGACATTCCTGCACTCGCTGACAGCCGCATACCCGACGACGGCCACGCCCGAGCAGCAGGCCGAGATGCGTTCGTTCCTGAACCTCTTCTCGCGCCTGTACCCGTGCTGGGTGTGCGCGGACGATTTCCGCGCGTGGATGAACGAGCCTGGAGGGCGCAACCAGCCGCGGCTCGCCGGCCGCGCCGAGTTCGGCCACTGGATGTGCGAGGCGCACAACGCCGTCAATCGCAAGTTGGGGAAGAAGGAGTTTGACTGCCGCTTCTGGGAGGAGAGGTGGCGGACCGGGTGGAAGGATGGGAGATGCGATTGATTGAGTGATTCTGTCGTCGTGGGCATATGGTCCTGAACGGTTTTGTGATCGGCTCTTGTACGATATATGGGAGTTGTTCGAAAGACTTTTGGGGGACTGGCTTCGTGTTGATGCATATATACATCTGTGTATGATTTGCATGGCATGGTTTGGCGTAAGGTTGCTGGAATTACACATCCCTACTCATAGATTGGAGTCTGGAAGCAAAAGACAGATATCTCTTCGCATGTACTATAGTATCTGATGAAGGAGAATGCGACTCTACTACTCAGATGATATTTCAAGAAAAGAATATGACCAGTAGAGGGAGTACCACGTTCTAGCAGATAAAACGCAAGCTGAGAGCTGGGTTATGGAAAGATGTTGCTGCTAAGTTCTAAGATAGGGAAGTGATAATCTCCAAAACAAGGCGCCACCACATCACACATCGGTCTTTTCTCATACAGGAGCGGAAGGAGAAGGAATTCAAAAGATACGCCTCTTTTCAATCAATTCAAATATAAATAATTCAAGAGAAAAAAAAAACAACCGTAAAAGCCTTCATTATCAATCTCTCATCCTCTAACTAAGACCAGACACATACAGTCGCAGACCGCTCGCTGGTGCCCCGATTTCCGTCACGTCCGAGATCCGGCACACAGATCCCTTGTACTGTTCGTGATACTTGGCCCCCGTAAACGGATCCGATACGCTCGGCGAACCGCTGTAGATGGGTGTGTAGGAGGCCGCGCAGATATCGAATTCCGCAAATTGGTCGAATTCGATCTCGATCTTGTCCTGCGGGTTGCGCTCACATTGAGCCTTGATCTTCTTGGCCTGTTCGACGGTTAGTATGTCCTAATATAGAAAATATAAAAGCGAGAGAAATGCTGACCTGATCAAGGAGTTTCGCCGAGCCGCCATTGGCCAGCATTCGGTTGGCAAAACTCAAGGCAGAAGCGTAGTTCTTGTTGGCAAAGGCAAACTTCATCGCAGCCATCAGAGCCAGCTGTCGGTGTGCAACTTCAAGCTTGGGAATGGTGAAATACGCGGAGAGCTCAAGGCTCCTCTTCAGGTTCTCCGGTGTGTCGGTTGGCAGAGAACGACGGTAGAGCTCAATGGACATGGCAAGGATGTATTCCCTGGCCGTGGCAATGATCTTCTTCGCTTGCTCAACCTCACTCTCAGATGATACAACGTTGACAAGCAAGGTGTGCAGAATGCGCTTGAAGATCTTGACGCCATCTTCGAGCTTGTTTGCCCGCATGGCAGCATAGCCTTCTTGCAGATCGACATTGGCAATAGTCTCGAGGTCTCGAGGGATGACGGGCAGCACCTTGCGGGTGTCCGTTTCGTCCACTGTTCGTCGCACGTAGTTCACCAAAGGAGGCAGTCCCGCCGTAGCTGGGAGGTATGTCCTGGACGCTTTGTAGATCTCGAGGAACCGCTCCTTCAGTGGGGCAAAGTTCACAGCACCCACTTGGCGGTTCAGAAGTTGCATGGCCGTGTCGAAAGAACCCGCTGCCACATGGTCGGCCGCCAGAGGAGAATTCCGAGCCCAAAGGTCGGCTTCCGAGCTGCCAGCGCCGGCCTCGACGCTATCGACGTTAACAAAATCGTTGTCTTCTTCGACATTGATCTCGTCGCCCATGTCCCATCCAGCGGCGTCTTCTTCCTCGTCCTCAAGTGCCTCCTGGGCGGCAACTTCAGCCTCCTCCGCTTCTTCCTCGACCTCGTAGCCATTGGCTCCCTCCTCATCCACGACGCCCACCTCTCCCAGCAGCGCCTTCTCGAAGGAGGAATGGCCAGCAGCCTTTACCGGCCAGTTGGCCTTGTACGTGGGAACAATCGGGCGCGGGACCTGCAGAGGCTCGCCTAAGGACGGCAGCTTAATCTGGTCCTCTGTAAGTCCACACGTCTCCAGAATAGCTTGAGCTTCTTCGTTCAAACCGTGTGTCTTGGCGGTCACGTATGCAAGGGGATCTAGATCAATTAGCAGCAGTAATGTGAAGGGCAGGTACAACACTCAACGTACACAAATCAGCTTCCTTGAACATTTGGATTCTGTCCTCGATGTCACCACGGTAGACGGCATTCTGGAAACGGGATGTAAAGTCGCCCCGGTGTTCGGCAATCTTGGCCATCCGCGAGAGCTTTTCTTGGTCACCAGTAGAGAGATATAAGAAGGAGAGCTTATCAAATAGTCTCTGCTTCTGGTAAGTCATCTCCACGGTCTGGTGGTTACCGTGAGCCAGCGCTTCGACGGCGAGCCGGCTCCACAGCTTGGGGCGATCGAGTTCCTTGGCCATTTCAATCGCAACATCGAGGTTGCCACACTCGATGGCAAGTTCGAAACGAGTCTGGGGATCCTGGACGAATTGCAAAGCAATCTCGGGGTAGCCTTTCTTCTGCAAATATGCGATGATGCTCTGGCCAACCAAGCTCGAAGTCTTGATGATGTGAAGCATTTCGTCATAATTCCTCTTGACGAGGGCGAGTTTGAATCGGTATTCGGTCGGGTCGATTTCCAGGATCCTGGGCTTAGCGTTGCGATCAAGGCAGTAGACATTGCGTCCTTTGACTCTAACGAGGTACAAAGTCTGGTCAAGGGTCCGGACAATACCATTGTCGCTGTAACCTGTCAGCTCCAAATCTGCTGGACCGTTATCATCCAGGAATAACCAACTTACCCGTTAAGCAGGGAGTATTTGACGTGGTTCAGGGTGGAGTAGAGGAGCACGCCAGCATCGTCCCAGGTAGCACTCTTGATACGGATCGTCTCATGTAGAGTGCTCACTTGTTCGAGCGTCTTGGTGACAATGGTCACATTGTGTTTGCTCAGCAAGGCTGCGTAAAGACCGTCATTCGACCAGACGACATATTTCACGCCACTGACAGCCAGCTCGGCCAACTGCTTCTTCTGCTGGATATCGAACAGCACCACTGACGTGGGGGTGATAAAGAGCAGGCATCCTGTTCCGCCAAAGTAGATGTCTGTTGTACCCGCCGGTGGCTTGATCGTCTTGGTCGTGGAGTTGCTCAAGTCCTTGATATCCACGGTCTGGCTGGGCTGGTTGAACACAGCAAATCGATTTCGCGCAACGAAGACGGCAGATGTACCCTGACCCCGCTTCTGATTGGTTGGCTCGACAGCGCCGGTAGCGTCCCTGGGGAGGTGGATAAGCTCGTATGTCCCACCGTCGGCCGGGGAGGTGACAAGAATCGCCCGCTCAGCAGGGTTGTATGAAAGCGTTCGTGCTGGGACCCAGGGTGCACCCAGTTTTCGCAATGACAGCATGGGAGGAGATTCAGTGTTCTTTGTAAAGTCGTAAGACTTGACGTGCTTCTCCTTAGTGATGTAGAAGAGCTGGTTCTGGTACACAGTGGATGCCGGGCGCTCTCTTTCCAGCTTGAACACCATCACACCGGTATCGTGACCAGCGGCAAACAGATTAATCTCCGGATGCGCCGCGATCACCCAGAACCGATCGAGGTCTCGCTTGAACGACTGAACGGAGGTCCGTTTGTTAAGATCCCAGACCCGGATGGTCTTGTCTTCGCCGACGGACAGGATAAGGTCTTGGTGCGGATGGAAGAGACAGGCAGAAGCATTCTGGAAATGGCCGCGACAGGTATCGACTTCCCATGCCTTCGTGTCTGTTACGTGTCAGACGGGATCCTGATCCTCCTGTATTATTTGCACTCACCACTCATCCTCCACAGTTTAACAAGTCTGTCGTCACCGGCCGAAACAATCAATGGCAGAGTTGGATGGAAAGACACCCAATTCACACCCCTGTCGTGGCCCTCCAGCACAAACTTGACCACTGCATCTGTGTTCCCAAACATGTCTGCCTGGTTTGCGCTGGCTCGGGCCATTTGATCCTCGTAAGTCAGAGAGGTCGGGGCGGAGTGTTTCTTTCGGAGGCCGGAGATATCCCAGACACGAACAGATTGGTCCAACGACGCCGAAACAATGAGGTCCTCCTTGGGGTGGAATTGCGCGCACATCACGTAGTGGTTATGGCCGGTCAATGTGCAGACTGCAAGCCGTGGTCAGGGAGGCAGCTAGTCGATTGACCGCAGAAGTCACTTACTGAGAGACCTGTTCTGCCAGTTCCAAATTCGGATGGTTTGGTCATCGGAACTAGACAAGATCCAGGGGAGTTCATGGTGGAAGAAAACAGTCCGCACGTAGTCCAAATGCCCATTGAGCGTAAACAGGCATCTGCGAGTCTGGTAGCTCCAGACCTTGATCTTGTAATCATCTCCTCCGGACACGAAAAGCGGCTGCGTCTTGTGGAAATCAATGCCACGGACGGGGCCATCGTGTTCCTCAAAGCGGTCAATCAGCATGCCCATGCGGTAGTCCCATAGCTGGATAGTGGAGGAATGAAGCGACACGAGGATCCATGGCCTGTTATTCCAATGTCAGTTCGCGTAGTCCCAAATCACTTTCAGCGCAACCAGCTGACCGTTTCGGGTGAAACGCAATGCCCTTAGCCCGGGAGGACTTGGACTCAAACTACGCAGAACGTCTTGTTAGCATAGACAACAAGAATGAGCGGCCAGAGGGGACCTACCTTAGTGAGCATCGTCGGGGAAGACATCTTCAGCGAAGGGTGGCCGGAGCCGCAGCATAAAGCAGCACGCTCCGCAGGCCAGTCAGTTGAAGATGGCTATAGTCTGCACCGCATCAACTCCAGCGAGGGCAATGGGGAGGTGCAGGAGAGATTGCAGCGTTGCGGTCGAGCTGCGTCTGGAGACTGGACATGCCAGCTTTCCAGTAGTTGGTGCCGGTCAATTGTGGCAATGGCGCGGAGCCACTAAGCGAGTGGAGCTGGCCAATGACGACGCCTTGGGACCGCGTGCTGAGCCTCAGGGGAAACCAGCGCCCTCCACCTGCGCGCATCGTTCTCGAACAGCAGACCGGTGGAAATGGAACCATTCTTCGATCTCGCTTTCTGCTGACTGCATTCTTGTTTTGCTGGCAGAGTCTGGTGACCTCGCGGCTATTGCGCTGCGGGTTCCTGGCAATTCAAAATGTTTGCAACGGGTTCTTAGTGGAGCCCCGCATTATTATTTATTACTGACGGCAGGAAAACTTCTCATCTATCCTCAGATCCATGAATCTATATACATCGTACATGCCAATCCTTCCCTCTTCGTTGGGTGTATGCGTTAAACCAGTCACACGATGATCGTCTCTCTCTTCGCGTCCCAATGTTGACTGTTAAGCGTGGCTGATGATGTTTGATGCAAAGTTGCTGACAGCGAGACCACCAGCTTCATACCCTCCCTTCCAAGATAGATCCTTTGAAATGCGCCATCGAATAACAGACGATCCTTTCCGTCGGTGAGGCTATCTGCCCGTACTCCTGTTTGCCGGATGAGTATGGGAAGAAAGCCATTTATAAAGGAGTCTCTATATCGTTCTGCTGGCCCCTCGTACGAGCGCCATGGGCGACCAAGTCCTGGTCCCCCACCCCGACGGAACTCCTCCGCATTC